CGCAAGGCTCATCCTTCACTGGCACTGTCCAAGCTCTGGAAAGTTCTGGATTCTCCCCCTCCAGAGCAAAGCATTTCCAGCTCTGTGGGGCCGGAGTGTCACAGGAACCTCAGGAGGGAGCACCTGTGTCCCTGCAGCGGTGCCAGGGCGTGCCAGCTTCAGCCAGGGCTGCAGGGGTGCCTGGGACTGTTCTATAAAAACATTATACTGGGTTTTATATCATTTATAAAACTAAAACTAAAACTAAAATAAAAATAAAAATAAAAATAAAAATAAAAATAAAAATAAAAATAAACGTAAACATGAATTAAAATAAAACTAAGAATAAAACTAAAACTAAAACTAAAACTAAAACTAAAGATAAAAATAAAAATTAAATAAACATAAACATAAATTAAAAATAAAAATAAAAAATAAGATAAAATAAAATATAACTATAACTATAACTGTAACTGTAACTGCAACTGTAACTGTAACTATAACTGTAACTATGACTGTAACTGTAAATATAAATATAAATATAAATATAAATATAAATATAAATATGGTTTAAAATATATATTGGTTAAAATTGGTTACAAATATATAAATATATAACCATATATTAGTTATGGATATATAAATATATATAGCTATATATTTTTATATATATAACATTTTAATAAGTTAACAAGTTAATATAACTTTCTTTTAATAATTTATATATATTAAAAACACATATATGTTTACCCTTAAGTCTGGTCCCCACTCGACTTTTGAACTACCAGCACTGCTGGGCAGTGTGTGACCCACACTCCTTCCATAACCCAATCCCAAAGATGTTCTCAGCTTTTGCACAGCTCTCCCTGCCTGTCCCTGCACAGAACGTGGTGTTCGTGGTGTTTGGCGTTTGTGGTGTTTGTGGTGTTTGGCGTTTGCGGTGTTTGGCGTTTGCGGTGTTTGTGGTGTTTGGTGTTTGCGGTGTTTGTGATGTTTGGTGTTTGTGGTGTTTGTGGTGTTTGCAGTGTTTGTGGTGTTTGTGGTGTTTGAGGTGTTTGTTGTGTTTGGCGTTTGTGGTGTTTGTGGTGTTTGGTGTTTGCGGTGTTTGTGGTGTTTGTGGCGTTTGTGGCGTTTGTGGTGTTTGCGGTGTTTGTGGGGTTTGGGGTGTTTGTGGTGTTTGTGGTGTTTGGCGTTTGCGGTGTTTGGTGTTTGTGGTGTTTGTGGTGTTTGTGGTGTTTGGCGTTTGCGGTGTTTGGTGTTTGTGGTGTTTGTGTTGTTTGCAGTGTTTGGTGTTTGTGGTGTTTGTGGTGTTTGATGTTTGTGGTGTTTGTGGTGTTTGCAGCGTTTGTGGTGTTTGAGGTGTTTGTAATGTTTGTGGTGTTTGTGGTGTTTGCAGCGTTTGTGGCGTTTGTGGTGTTTGCAGCGTTTGTGGCGTTTGCGGTGTTTGTGGTGTTTGGCATTTGTGGTGTTTGTGGTGTTTGTGGTGTTTGCGGTGTTTGTGGTATTTCTGGTGTTTGTGGTGTTTGTGGTGTTTGTGGTGTTTGCGGTGTTTGTGGCGTCTGTGGTGTTTGTGGTGTTTGTGTTGTTTGTGGTGTTTGCGGTGTTTGTGGTATTTCTGGTGTTTGTGGTGTTTGTGGTGTTTGTGTTGTTTGTGGTGTTTGCGGTGTTTGTGGTGTTTGTGGTGTTTGGTGTTTGTGGTGTTTGTGTTGTTTGTGGTGTTTGCGGTGTTTGTGGTGTTTGTGGTGTTTGTGGTGTTTGGTGTTTGTGTTGTTTGTGGTGTTTGCGGTGTTTGTGGTATTTCTGGTGTTTGTGGTGTTTGTGGTGTTTGTGTTGTTTGTGGTGTTTGCGGTGTTTGTGGTGTTTGTGGTGTTTGGTGTTTGTGGTGTTTGTGTTGTTTGTGGTGTTTGCGGTGTTTGTGGTGTTTGTGGTGTTTGTGGTGTTTGGTGTTTGTGGTGTTTGTGGTGTTTGCGGTGTTTGTGGTGTTTGTGGCGTTTGTGTTGTTTGCCTCCCGTTTGGCCTCAGGCTGGGGAGCAGCCCTGCCCAGCTGGGCCCCCTTTGACCAGCCAGGCCCCATGGCCGCAGCATTCTCTGCAGCCCTTGCTGTTCCTCTTTTGATCCCTGACACATAAAATCCTCAAAGCCTTTTGGTCCAGGTGTTGGATTTTGTGTCCCCATCCCAGAGAGATCTCAGAGCAGCCAATTTTCCAACCAGATCTCTCCCCAGCAGGGGCTGGGCATTGGGGCAGCGCAGAAATTGGTGTTTTCCCCCTGTTTTCATAATTTAAATGGCAGAGGCTGGAACATAGGCCTCTTCCCTTCCTCCCTGCTGCACCCACAGTGCCAGGAGCCAGCACATCCCTCTGTCTGTCCCGAGCAGCCCAGACCCTGCCGGGGGGCTCAGGGACCCTGGCACAGAGCCCAGAACACCTGTGGGTTTGATTGGGACCCGTGGAACAAGTTACCAACCTTGTATGAAGATCTGCAAGCCACAACAGTTTAGGTAGAATATTAGTGAATTTATCACGGGGTGGAAAAGTAGATTTTGGTGTTTTGGTATGGGGGTTCAGGGAGCAAGATGGAGGGAACTGGGTGTGACCAGCCTTTCTCCTTCTCCTTCTCCTTCTTGGCCTTCATCTTCTGCTGTGATGGTGGCACTTTGGGATTGGTTTAGAGTAGAAGCTCACTGTCCAACATAGGTGATGGGTATTGAGAAGTTATGGTAAATATTGTACACATAGTTTTAGTATAAAGACATAACACCGCCCTGGGGGCAGGCAGAGTGCCTGGAACTGTCTTGCTGAGTAACCTCGGCAGGGCAGAAGAAAATTTTTTATAGATAAGATAAAATAAACAACCTTGAGACCGAGAAATGAAGAGCCCTGACTCCTTCTTTGAGCACTGGGCTGGGAAAAGAGACTTTGGAACTTTTTCTCGGGGTCACTGTGAGCAGCAGAGATCCCGACACCACAGCAGCTCCCACCTCAGTTCTGCCCTGCAGGAGCTCATCACCCCAGAAGCTGCTCCCCATCAATCACAAATGTACCTATTTATCTTTTCCTTCCCCATCAGCTGCAGCCTAGGGCTCAGCTGAGGACGAGGCCCTCAGTCCCCACCAGGGAATGGTTCACCTCCATCTCAGGAGCCTGATGGTTTGGAGAGCTGGTTTGGGATCCTGGCTGGGGGACATTCCCTTTTCCAGTGTCCCCTTTATTCACAAATTCAGCCACCAATTATCACAGCACTCCCCCTATTGCTTCCCACTGAGGGCATCCTGCCCCGAATTCCCCCAAAGCTTCCCTTGGCATCCTCGGGGGAATTCTCTCCAGAATCTCCCCTTTCACTGCATGGGCCACTTCCCATTCAAACCCTGTGCCATTCCAAACCCATTCCCAGGCAGGGCCATTCCAAACTGTGCCATTCCTGGGCAGGATCATTCCAAACTGTGCCATTCAAAACTCATTCCAGCTGAGAGCAACCTAAACTGTGCCATTCCAAGCCCATTCCTGGGCAGAACCATCCCAAACTGTGCCATTCCAAACCCATTCCTGGTCAGAAGCTCCAAGAAGAGCCCCAAACCCCCAGGGACCCTTGAGGCCCACCCTGGGCAGCTCTTTCTGCCCCTTCCCGTTCCAAGGGGAGGCTGCCCTGCTCCTGCCAGGCTCCTGCTCCCATTTCCTGCCCTCTGGGGATCGCAGCTTCTCCCCAGAAATCCCCCCAGGCCCCCTGATCCCTCGGACCCGCTGAAATTCAGGAGTGGGTCCCACCCAGCTGTTACCAGAATGGGTAAAACCGAACCCCCTGAGCCCCAAGGGACAGAATTGCTGCTCCCAACGCCACCCCGGCCCCAGGATTTCATTTCCTCTGGTTTCTGGCAGCACAGCCGGCGTTTCCTCAGAGCTGGGTTTCCCTTGGGAGCGCTGCTGTGGGGACAGAGGCACCGAGTGACCCTGAGGATGTGGGGAAACGTGGAAAGGTCTTTCCAGACCCGATCCCACCCCTCGGGGGTCCCGGGGTGCCCGAGCCCCACAGGTCCCAGCAGGAGCCGGGTCCAGCCTCTCCCTCTCCGCAGATCCCGGATCCAGGGATGGCATTCCCACTTTTTCAGGAATTCAGCACATCCAGCCCCGCAAATTCCCGTCCTCGGAGCCGCCTCAACGTCCCAGCCCCCCGCGCTCCCGGCTCCGGCCTAATTTCGGGAATTTAATTGGGAAAACGGCTCCGGGCCGCGTGATCTTATCTGAAAGGAGAGAAGGAAAGGGGAATTGGGGAATTCTCCTGGTTCTCGGAGCACAAAGGAGCGCGCCCAGCGCCTCCCCCCCGTGTCCCGTCCTGCCGACCCCGATCCGGCGGCTCCTGCGCGTGGGCGCCCGAAACTGGAACTGGGACAGCCCAGAAAAGCCGCAGCAGCCGGGGGTGGCACGGAGGTGACACGGAGGTGACACGGTGACACCGCCGGCAGCGCCGCCAGCAGCCTCGGGGGCGCCAGGCGGGATTTTGGGGGTGTTTGGGGATATTCCGCCTGGAAAGGGCTGCCCTGGGGGGCTAAAAGCGGCTGGATGTGGCACTGGGGACACGGGCAGCGGTGACACTGGGGACACGGGCAGTGGTGACACTGGGGACACGGGCAGAGGTGGCACTGGGGACACGGGCAGCGGTGGCACTGGGGACACGGGCAGTGGTGACACTGGGGACACGGGCAGAGGTGGCAATGGGGGCACGGGCAGCGGTGGCACTGGGGACACGGGCAGTGGTGACACTGGGGACACGGGCAGAGGTGGCACTGGGGACACGGGCAGCGGTGGCACTGGGGACACGGGCAGTGGTGACACTGGGGACACGGGCAGCGGTGGCACTGGGGACACGGGCAGAGGTGGCACTGGGGACACGGGCAGAGGTGGCAATGGGGACACGGGCAGTGGTGGCACTGGGGACACGGGCAGAGGTGGCAATGGGGACACGGGCAGTGGTGGCTCTGGGGACATGGGCAGTGCTGGCACTGGGGACACAGGCAGTGGTGGCCCTCAGGACACGGGCAGCAGTGGCAATGGGGACACGGGCAGTGGTGGCAATGGGGACACGGGCAGCGGTGGCACCGGGGACATGGGCAGCGGTGGCACTGGGGACACGGGCAGTGGTGGCAATGGGGACATGGGCAGCGGTGGCACTGGGGACAGGTGACACCGGGGATTGTCCCATCTCCGCGGTGCCGCCCTGGCCCAGTTTCCCCTCCCAGCTCCGTGGGCAGATGGAGCGCGTGTTTGGGGTGGGGGCCTGTCCCCATTCCCGTGGGAACGCCACCATCTGTGCCCTGCTCGGTGACATCCGGCCGGGGGACACTCCCAGTGCTCCCAGGTGCCCCCCAGGTGTGTGAATATTCCCCCTCCCACCTCAGCCTCATTCACATTTTTTACTCATTTCTACATTTTTTTACTCGTTCCCACATTAACTCCGGTTTTTGGCTTTTATCTGGGGAAGGGGGGACACTGTGGGGAGGACGCGTGGTGGCCCCTGCTGTCACCGGAGCCCCGTCATGGTTCAGCCACGACAAAGAGCCCAGAAGAGTCTCCTTCCTCCCCTCCCTCCCTCCCTCCCTCTTCCTCCCTCCCTGCCCTTCCTCCTAATTAAAGGGAATAAATATAATAGAAATAAATAGAATTAAACGGAATAGGAAGAGCAGAATGGGGTAGGAGGACCGGGCTGAGCAGAAGAATAACAACTGGAATAACTTAAATAGAATAAAATAAAACAGAAAGAATAATGAATGACATAGAAAAAAATAAAATAAAATAAAATAAATAGACTTAAAGAAACTTCTGGCCTTAAATACGAACACGGGGCTGGGCACTGGTGGGACGGGCAGGGAGTGGGAAATGCCCCGAGGGACATTCCAAAGGTACTTCAGTACCTGAAGGGAACACGGGGAATTCATCCCAGAGGGATTTCCCAGGCTCTGGGAGAACCGGGAAGCACCGGAGGACACTGCAAGGTCCAGAGGGACACGGAGAAGTGTCCTGGAGAGACTCTGAGGTGTGAAAGGCACGTGGAGAAACAGCCCCGAGGGATTGCCCGAGGTCCAGGTGGATGTGGGGAAACATCTCAGACGCTGTAAGATCCAGAGGGAACACGGAGACACATCCCGGAGGGATTTCCCGAGGTCCAAAGGAGAAATGCCCGGGTTCCAGAAGCCTCCGGGGGTGTCCCGGGGTGAGCACGGCACCGGCGGGGCCACACCCACCGGGGGTCACACCCACCGGGGGCCACACCCACCGGGGCCACACCCACCGGGGCCACACCCACACACCCACCGGGGCACACCCACCGGGGTCACACCGGGATGGCCCGGCTACCGCTGGGCACTCGCCGGGAGCTCCCTGTCCCCAAGGGGGTCCCCAGCCCTGAGCACGTCCCTGGGCTCGAGGGGGTCCCTGTCCCCAGGCACGGCCCCATCACTGTGAGGGTGCCTCTCACGGAGCAGGTCCCCGTCCATGAGGGGGTCCCCGTCTCCACAGGGCTCCCTATCCCTGTCCCTGTGTGAGTCCCCATCCCCACAGGGGTCCCTGTCCCCATCCCCATCACCCATCACCCTATCGCTGAGTGGGTCCCCATGCCCACGGGAGTCCCTCTCCCCATCCCTATCCCCATCCCCGTCCCCACGGGGGTCCCTGTCCCTGTGGCTGTCCCTGTCCCCGTCCCCCCGAGGGTCCCTGTGGCTGTCCCCATCCCCGCGGGTGTCCCTACTCTCGTCTCCGTCCCCGCGGGAGTCTCTGTCTCCACGGGGGTTCCTGTCCCTGTCCCTGTCGCTGTCCCTGTCCCCGTCCCCGCGGGGGTCCCTACCCTTGTCCCTGTCCCTGCGGGGGTCTCTGTCTCCACGGAGGTCCCGGTCCCTGTCCCTGTCGCTGTCCCTGTTCCCACGAGGGTCCCTGCCCCTGTGGCTGTCCCCGTCCCCGCGAGTGTCCCTGTCCCTGTCCCTATCCCTGTCCCTGAGCGGGTTCCTGTTGCTGCCCCTGTCGCCGCAGGGGTCCCTGTCCTCACGAGGGTCCCTGTCACTGTCCCTGTCCCTACCTCTGTCCCCGTCCCCGCGGGTGTCCCTGTCCCTGTCCCTACCCTTGTTCCCGTCCCCAGGGGTGTCCCTACCCCTGTCCCTGTCCTTGTCCCCGTCCCCGTGGGTGTCTCTACCCTTGTCCCCGTCCCCGCGGGTGTCCCTACCCTTGACTCTACCCTTGTCCCCGTCCCCGCGGCTGTCCCTACCCTTGTCCCTGTCCCTGTCCCCGTCTCCGCGGCTGTCCCTACCCTTGTCCCTGTCGCCGTCCCCGCGGGCCCGGCACCGCCGCCGCGTCCGGCGGTGGGAGCTGAGGCTGGCCCGCGTGGCGAAGGCGCGGCCGCAGCGGGCGCAGGGGAAGGGCCGCAGGCCCGCGTGGCCGCGGCGGTGCAGGGAGAGGTGCCCGCGGTGCAGGAACACGCGGCCGCACTCGGGGCACGGCAGGGCGCGGTGCTGCCGCAGGTGCAGCTCCAGGCTCTCCCTCCAGCTGAAGCTCCGCCCGCAGGGCCCGCACACGAAGGGCCGCTCCCCGTCCGGTGCCGGGTCCGGGCAGCGCGGGGCCCGCGGCCGGTGCGAGCCGCGGTGCCGCAGCAGGTCCCCGAGCAGGCAGAAGCTGCGGCCGCACTCGGCGCAGCCGTGCCGGGCCCGGTTCCCCCGGCGCAGCTTCTTGTGCGCCAGGAGGCTGCGGCGGTGCCGGAAGGATTTGCCGCAGGCGCCGCACAGGTACGGCCGGCCCGGGGGCGCCTCGGCCCCGCCGCTGCCGCCGCCGAGGAGCCCCGAGGCCGCCGGTACCGGCCGGGAAAGGGCCCCGGCACGGCGGCCCCGCGCGGTGTCACGGCAGCCGGAGCGGGGGACGCCGGAGCCCGATCGCCAGCGTCCCCCGGTGCCGTCCTTGCTGTCAGAGCTGCTCCGGGCGCCTGCCGGGGACACGAGGTCACCGTGGGGGAGTCCCGGACCCCCGGCTGCTGCCGCGACCACCGCTGTGACACCGTGGGGGACCCCAGCACAGCCCAGCCCGGGGGTGTCACAGCGGGGCTCCGGCCAGGGCCACCCCCAGCCCCACAGGGTGTCCCCGCGGGGTGTCCCGGTCACTCACTGCTGTCGGTGGTGTCGCTGCTGTCGCTATCTCCGCTGTGCTCCCCAGCGCAGGGCGCCCCCCCGTGCGACTCCTCCTTCACGTGGGAGAACTTGGAGTTGGGGTCTGTGAGGGAGAGAGGACCCTCAGTGCCCCCGCCATGCCCGGGCAGGGTCACGGTCACCGGGAACCGTCACCAGGCCGGGGGCTGTGCTAGGGGCGGGGGGCCGGGGCACCCCCAGCCCTGGGCACATCCAGCCCATAGCACCCCCAGCCCCATGGCACCCCCAGCCCCATGACACCCCCAGCCCTGGGCACCCCCAGCCCCGTGGCACCCCCAGCCCATAGCACCCTCAACCCATAACCCATAGCACCCCCAGCCCTGGGCACCCCCGGCCCCATGGCACCCCCAGCCCCATGACACCCCCAGCCCTGGGCACCCCCGGCCCCATGGCACCCTCAGTCCCGTAGCACCCCCAGCCCTGGGCACCCTCCCAGCCCCTGTCACCCCTAACCTGGGCACCCCCAGCCCCACGGCACCCCCAGCCCCACGCCCCCGTCCCTCACCCAGGCTGGCCACCATGTCGTAGTTGTCGCACATGACCTGCCGGTGCAGCGCCCGCTGCCAGGGCGCCAGCTGCGCCCACTCCTCGCGGGAGAAGTGCACGGCCACCTCCTCGAATGTCACCGCGGGGGTCCCCCCCTGGCAGGGACAGCGGGGGGCTCAGGGGGGGCCCTCGCTGCGCTCCCCGTGCGGGTCCCCGGCCTCGGGGGGCCCGAGCCCCGCTAATCCCTACGGGGACAGCCCCGGTACCCCCCAGCACTCCGCAGGGCCCCCGGAGCCCCCCGCCCCCGGCGCGCCCCGGGCTCGGCCCGGGCTCACCCGCTGCATGGCCGGGCGGGCGGATGGCGGCGGCGGCGGCGGAAGGGGCCGGGCCGGGGAGAGCGCCGGAACCGGGGCTGGGGGCACCGGGGGGCCCGGGCGAGGGGCGGCTCTGCGGGGCGGCGGGTGCCGGGATCCGGCTCCTTCCCGTGCCCGGCGGGTACCGGGATCCGGCTCCTTCCCGTGCCCGGCGGGTACCGGGATCCGGCCCCGCTCGCCCACCCGGCAGCATCACCTGCGCCCCAAACGGGGCCCCTCGGGACACGGCCCCGTCCGAGTCAGCCCCCCAAATCCCGAGGGACCGGCCTAGTGACCCCCGGGATCCGGGAACCCCGCACTGGAGCTCCCACGCCGGAGGACCCCAGTCCGGAGGGACCCACACCTGTGGGACAGGGACACCCTGGGGGTCCTGCAGCCCCTGCGCCCGAACCCCCCAGAACCCAGCCGGGTGGCACCGCGTGTCCCCAGGCAGAGCACAGCCCCGCACCTGGCACAGGGTGTCTGTGTCCCAGTGGGACCCCCAGTGACAGCCCCGGTGTGAGACCCCCCCCCTGCCCCACATGTCCCCAGGGAGCACCAGGGGTATTGGGGCCACCGCCGTGGATGTGACAGTGACCCTGGGGTTGGCCACCCTAACGCTGAGCTCTCACCTGGTGTCCAGGTGAGGTTTGGTGGTCACGGAGCACACTGGAAGGCACTGGCACTGGCTCTGGCACTGTCCTGGTGGTCCCTTGGCCAGGGTCAGAGCCTACCCCGGGGCTGCAGAGAGACCCCTGTGCCCCCCGCCCAGTCCCAGACAGAGCACCTGGAGCCCCGGAGCCATCAGAAGCTTTTATTTTAAATAACCTCAAAAAATAGAATTGCAGAGAGCAGAGCTGGGGAAGGGGAGCGGGGTGGGACCCCCTGCCCGGCCGGGGCTCCGGGGGCGGCTGTCCCGGTGTCGGTCCCGTCACAGGGTCCGGTTCCCTTTGGGATGAAGCAGCGGCAGCTCCCAGTGGGGTCTGTGGCGAAGCTCTGCCCGGACCGTGGATGCCCGGCTCTGTCCCACCGGGGGGACGGGGAGAGGCCGCACAAAGCCCAGCCGAGCCCCCCGAGCCCCCCGCCACCACCACCACCACGATCCGGCCCCAGCGGCCACGCCACCCTTCCCCATCCGAATATCGAGCCCCAAAGCACGCGGTTACCCAGAGCAAGCAGAAGCACAAGCTGCCCCCCATCCCCCCGAGCAGAGCTGAGCCCTTCCAGGCCCTTCTCCTTTTCCTGGCTGTTTGCCCAGCGTGCTCCCAGCTTCCCCCCGCACAGAGCTGCACTGCGGACCCCAGGGCTCAGCCCGCAGCAGGGCGGGCCCAGCCTCTCATCCCAGCGTGTCCTTAGGGAATGAGCGCCATCCAGTCCGGAACAGGCTGGAAGGTTCTGGAAGCAGAGGGAGCCCCTGAGGGCCCCTCTTGTCCCAAGTCTGGCTCCAGTGGATGCAACTCCACTGTGCCCAGCTCCTCCTGGTCTGTGTGGCTGGAGCCCACACGGCAGATCCGGGCCCAGCGCCGGCTCCTCCAGCCCTTTGGTGTCTTCCCAAGCCAGGAACGTGCCGTGTCCCAGCCTGGCTCTGCCCTGCCCCACAGCCCCGGCTGGAGGCTCCTCCAAGTCCCAGTGCTGAATCTGGCTGGCAGTGCCACCTTGGCACCGAGCCCTCGGCTTTGTCCCTTTGGCTCTGTCCCCTCGGTTCCATCATTTTGGCTCCGTCCCTTTGGCCGTCCCCTCGGTTCCATCCTTTTGGCTCTGTCCCCTCTGGCTCTGTCCCCTGGGCTCCATCTCCTCCAGGCTCGCCGTGGGTCACCCCATGAGCCGAGGGCCGGTCCTTGCTGGGGGTGTCTCGCTGGGGGTTCCAGGCTGGGGGATCACAGGCGGCCGGGGCAGGGTGGGGGTCCTGGTGGGGGGGTCTCAGCGCAGGTCCCAGCGCGGGGGTCGCGGGCGGCCGGGGGTCCCGGGGCTCACAGGCAGCCGGGGCACGGCGCCGGTTTCTCCTCGCCGCACTCCCGCTCCGGCGCTCCCGGCACTCTCTTCTCGTCGAAGGCGCGGGCGCAGCCGCCGGCCTTGGCCCAGAGCTGCCCGCGAGGGGGCTCGGGAGGGCGGGGGGCCAGGCAGGCGGCGCAGCAGCACGGCGGGGGCAGCCCCGGCGCGCGGGGGCTCGGGCCGCCCCCGGGGCACTTGCAGGGGGGCACGGGGGCCGGGGCGGCGCCGGGGCCGGGCGGGGGCTCCTCCTGCATCAGCTGCAGGAGGATGTCGGCGGCGCCCGAGGGGCTGTCGGGGCGCGCCGGGGGCGCCCCGCGGGAGCAGGGCGGCAGCAGCAGCGCGGGGGGCTCGGGGCCCTTGGCCAGGGGGTCGCCGGCGGCGCAGGGCGCGGCCGGGCCGGCGCCGTGGGTGCGGCGGTGCCGCAGCAGGTGAGCCTTCTGGCTGAAGCCCTTGCCGCAGTCGGCGCAGCGGAACGGCCGCTCCCCGGTGTGCGTCCGCAGGTGCACGGCCAGGTTCACCTTCTGCCGGAAGCGCTTCCCGCACTCGGCGCACGCGTGGGGCCGCTCGGCGGCGCAGCCGTGGGGACACTCGGAGCACGCGTGGGGACACTCGGCGCAGGCGTGGGGCTGCTCGGGGCAGCCGTGGGGCCGCTCGGCGCAGGGGTGGGGCCGCTCGCAGGGGCGGGGATGCTCGGCGCAGGTGCGAGGGTGCTCGGCGCAGCCGCGGGGACACTCGGCGCAGGCGTGGGGCTGCTCGCACGCGTGGGGCCGCTTGGGGCAGGCGTGGGGCTGCTCGCAGGGGTGGGGACACTCGGCGCAGGGGTGCTGCCGCTCGGGGCAGGGCTGCGGCTGCGGCTGCCCGCAGGCGTGGGGCCGCTCGCAGGCGTGAGGATGCTCCGCACAGGCGTGGGGATGCTCGGTACAGGCGTGAGGATGCTCCGCACAGGCGTGGGGGTGCTCGGCACAGGTGCGGCGCTGCTCGGCGCAGGTGTGGAGCCGCTCGGCGCAGCCGTGGGGACGCTCGGCGCAAGCGTGGGGACGCTCGGCGCAGCCGTGGGGACACTTGGCGCAGGCGTGCAGCTGCTCGGTGCAGGTGTGCAGCTGCTCGGCGCAGGCGTGCGGCCGCTCGGCGCCGCCGTGGCCCGGCCGGAGCCCCCCGTGCTCCGCGCAGGCCTCCCCGCAGAGCCCGCAGGGGAAGGGGCTCCCGGCGGGGTCCAGGGCGCCGGGGGCCGCGCCGGGGGTCCCGGTGTGCACGCGCTGGTGCACCCGCAGGGACAGTTTGCTCTTGAAGCGCTTGGGGCACTCGAGGCAGGTGAAGGGCTGGCGGCCCAGGTGCGTCTTCTGGTGTGCCAGCAGGTTGGGCTTCTGGGCGAAGCGCTTCCCGCACTGGGCGCAGGCGAAGGGGCGCTCGCCCGTGTGCACCCGGTAGTGCGTCACCAGGTTGCCCTTCTGGTTGAAGCGGCGGCCGCAGACGCCGCAGGTGAAGGGCCGCTCACCTGTGTGGATGCGCTGGTGGGTGGCCAGGTTGGTTTTGAGGCTGAAGCGCTTGCCGCAGGTGTCGCAGCGGAAGGGGCCGCGCCCGCCGGCGCCGTGCCCCCCGTGCCGCGGCGCCCGCTCGCACTGCGCCAGGCCCCGCCCGCACTCGGGGCACGGCCAGGGCCGGCCCTCGCCCGCCCGCGGCCCCGGGGGGGACCCGGGGGGCTGCTCGGCGCCCGGCTCCGCGGGGGGGGCGCCGGGGCACGGCTTGTGCCCCGCGTGGCTCTTCTGGTGGGCGACGAGGGCGAGCCAGAGCCCGAAGCTGTTGCCGCACTGATTGCAGATGAAGGGCTTTTCCGGGGAGAGCACGGCCTCGCCCGGGCCCGGCTGCGCCCCCAGGGGCCCCAGGAGGGGCGGGCCGGGCGCGAAGGGCGCGGCGGGCGCCTCGGGGGGCCGCAGCAGGGGCACCTTGGGGCAGAAGCCGTCGCCGCAGTGGGCGCAGGGGAAGGAGGGCTCGGCCGGGGGCGGGGGCGGGAAGCCCTTGTCAGGGCACGGGAAGAGCTCGGCGGCGCCCTCGGGGAGCTTGGGGGCGGGCGGGAGCGGGGCGAAGGGCGCGGGGTCCTGCGGGGCGGGCGCGGGGGGCAGCAGGGCGGGCGCGGCCCCGAAGGGCGCGGCGGGGGCCGGGCCGCGCGCGGGGCAGCGGCGCTGGCGGGGGACGTGCGTCTTCTGGTGGGCCTTGAGGGACACCTTGTCCTTGAAGCACTTGTGGCACTGGGCGCAGGGGAAGGGGCGCAGGTCGGTGTGGGTGCTCTGGTGCGTGACCAGGTTGGTTTTCTGGGTGAAGCGCTTGCCGCACTGGGCGCAGGCGAAGGGCCGCTCACCTGTGTGCACCCGGTAGTGCGTCACCAGGTTGGTTTTCTGGTTGAAGCTGCGGCCGCACAGGAAGCAGGAGAAGGGCCGCTCGCCCGTGTGGATGCGCCGGTGCGTGATCAGGTTGGGCTTCTGCCGGAAGCTCTTGCCGCACTCGGGGCACACGAAGGGCGCGTCCTCGGGGCAGCCCCGCGCCGGCGCCCGCGCCCGCGCCTTGCCCTCCTCGGGGTGGGCGCCGTGGATGCGCTGGTGCGCCAGCAGGTTGGCCTTCTGCGAGAAGCTCTTGCCGCACTGGGCGCAGGGGAAGGGCCGCTCGCCCGTGTGCACGCGCCGGTGCGTCAGCAGGTTGGGCCGCTGGCTGAAGCTCTTGCCGCAGTCCCCGCAGCGGAACGGCTTCTCCCCGGTGTGGATGCGCTCGTGCGTCACCAGGCTCTGCTTCTGCCGGAAGCCCTTCCCGCACTGGGCGCAGCGGAAGGGGCCGGGGACGCCCCCCTGGGCCCCCCAGCAGCCGGCGCGGGGGGCGGGGGGGTCCCGGGGGGGCTCGGGGCCGCGCTGCCCGCCGGGGAACCAGCGGCCGGAGCTGCCGCCCGCGGCGGCCGGGAACAGCTCCAGGGAGCCGGCGCCAATCCCGGGCTTCTCCTCGGGCTCCACCTTGCTCACCCGCCCGGGCTCCACTGCACCGGAGAGAGCCCGGGGTCAGCCCGGCTCCCGGAGAACTCCAGGCTGTCCCGAGCGGGGAGGACCCGGGCCCAGCCCCCTGAACCATGGGGGCCCTCACTGCTGAACCATGGGGACGTGGGGCACCCCAAAGAGCTTCAACTCCCCAAGCCTCTCCTGGTGTGTGACATCCCAAGGGGCCCCCAAACCTCCCAGTTTGTGACACTCAGGTCCAAAATTGTCCAAACTGGCTCAGAATGGCAAAAACTGGTCTGAAATGGCCAAAACTGGCTCCCAAAACTGGCCCACAATGGCCACAAAATGACTCAGAATTACCATATATTGGTCATGAATGGCTGTGAACTGGCCCAGGATGGCGCCAAAATGGCTGAAAACTGGCCCAAAATGGCTGAAAAAGGTCTTTGAACTGGCTCAGAACAACCCCTAACTGGCCCCAAAAAGTTCTAAACTGGCCCAGAACACCCCCAAAGAATCCCATCCCACCTTTTCCCCTGAGCCCCCCATTCCCACTGCTCCCCCAGATCCGGACTCACCGGCGCAGGGGCTGCCCAGGGCCTTGGACTCCTCCGGGCCCGTCCGCGCGGCTCCGAACGGCTCCTCCGGCGGCTTCATCCCGAACAAACCCCCCGGCTTAAAGAACCGGTACCCTGGGGGGACACGGGGCAGCGCCGTCGGGACCCCCGGCGCGGCTGGGACCGGGCTGATCCCGGGAGAACCGGGCTGGTCCCGGGAGAACCGGGCTGATCCTGGGAGAGCCGGGTGATCCCTGGAGAACCGGGGTGATCCCAGGAGAGCCGGGCTGATCCCGGGAGAGCCGGGCTGATGCCGAGAGAGCCGGGCTCTGGCACAGGGGATGGAGCCGCTCCTTGGGAACCGGCTCCAGGTGGGCTGGGACGGAGCCATCCTGGGCTGGGACCTGGGACGGAGCCATCCTGGGCTCTAGGCTCTCCCTGCAGCCTCTCCCAGCCCCGGGAATCCCCAGAACGCTTTCATCATCCCAGTTCAAAGTCCCCACAAAAATGCACCGAGCTCTGTGTGGAAAATCCCACCCCAGCCCCTATCCCAGGTGTCCCACCCTCCCCTCACCTGTGCAGGGATCCGAGGGGATCTCGGCGCCCACAGCATCCAGCTGGGATCCGGCCCGTGGCGCCGGGCTCAGCCGGGAATACGGGAGCAGATCCAGGGCGTGGGCGGGCTGGGGAGGGGGCAGCGGCTCAGAGGCATTTTGGGGTCATTTTAGGGTGTTTGGGGACCTTTCCCTGAGTTTGACCACAGGCCAAGGACAGGGATTGTGCATCCCAAATATGAGGGTCCTCACTCCAGGATGGAGCCCCCATCCCTGCTCCCCAAACCAGACCCCTGCTCCCCCAAATTACATCCTCACGCCCCAAAACCAAATCCCTGCTTCCCCAGCAGATCCCTCCTCCCCAAACCAGACCCCTGCTCCCCCAAATGACATCTCCACCCACCAAACGAGACCCCTGCTGCCCCAAATCACATCCCCACCCTCCCAAGCCAGATCCCTGCTTCCCCAGCAGATCCCTACACCCCAAACACGATCCTTGATCCCCCAAAAGAGATGCCCAGCCCTGCCCCTCCAGACCAGATCCCCGACCCCCAAACCCAACCCTGTCCCCCCCGTCCCCACTGCCCACCCCCCAAACCAGCTCCTTTTCCAGCCGGGACCCGCACCGAGGGAGGAACCTGTCCCGAGGAGCCAGTCCCGCTTCTCCGGGCACACTGAACCCCTCCGGTGCCCCGGTCCCTCCCGGGTCCCTCCCGTGTCCCCAAGCCCCCGCAGCTCCGTAGGGATGGGGCGCGGCCCCCAAGGCGCCGATTTCCCGGAAAAACTCCCGGGGGGCCCCAGGGGTCGGGGGAAAACCCCTCGGAAAAGCCCCGGAGATCCCCCCGCAAGGCCGCGGGCGGAGCAGAGCGGGGATCCCCCGGGAGTTCCCCCGAACCCCCGCGTACCTGGGGCGCTCCCCCCGCCGACATCGCTGCCCTTTCCCGGGCCCCGCGGCCGCTCCGGCTCCTCGGGGCTCCTTCCCGCGGCCCCGCGGCCCTTCCCGGCCTCGGCCCGGCCTCCTTCCGCCACCGAGTCCCTCAAATGGCCGCGGCGGGTCCTGGCAGAGCGGGAGAGCCGCGCTGAGAGCGGGGATGGGGCGGGAGGGGCGGCGGGGATGGGGCGGGAAGGGCGGCGGAACCGGGCCCGAGCAGCGCGGCAGTCCCGGAGCGGCTCCGGCGGCCTCGGCCCCCCCGTCCTCCTCCTCCTCCTCCTCCCCCCGGAATTTGGGGTGCGGAAGGCGCCGAGCGGGGCCGGATCCGGCTGCGAACGGCGAGAGCCGGGAGCGCTGGGAGTTGTAGTTCGGGCTGGGATGGGATGGATCGGATGGGATGGATCGGACGGGATGGATGGGATGGGATGGGATAATGGGGTGGGATCGGACGAGATGGGAGCGAGTGGGAGCGGCAGCAGGGAATGGCCCCGGCACTGCATCGGCTTGTCCAGCCGGAAACGGCCCCGGGAGCCGGGAATAGCCCCGGGAGAGGCGGGAATAGCCCCGGGAGAACCGGGAATAGCCTCGGGAGAGGCGGGAATAGCTCCGAGAGAGCCGGGAATAGCCCCGAGAGCCGGGAATAGCCCCGGGAGAACCGGGAATAGCCCCGAGAGCCGGGAATAGCCCCGGCACAGCATCCTCCCGGCTGGAATGGCCCCGGGCGTTGGGAACAGCCCCGGCACAGCCTCGCCTCGGCAGCCAGGAACAGCCCTGGGGCACGGGAGGAGCCGCGGCGTGGCATCACCGCATCAGCCGGGAGCGGTCCCGGGAACAGCCCCGGGAACAGCCCCGGGCACACCGGGCAGCGCTCCCCCGGGCCCGGCGGCTCCCGTGGCAGCTCCCGGCGATCCCGGCTCTCCCCGGTGCCGGCCGCGCCTCGGGGGGTTCGCAGTGACCCCCGTGCGCCCCAGCACGGGCTCCCTCCCGCGGGAGCCCCGGAGCCGCCACCCCGAGACTCCGGCAGTTCCCGAGACCCCCAAGCACACCCTGGGACCCCCGAGCCCCCCGAGACCCCGGGCCGTGCCCCCCGCCCTCCCAAGCCACGTGACCGCGACCCCCGGGACCCTCCCCGGGAAACTCACGGGCAGCCGCTGCCCCGCCGCGCGGTGACGTCACGCGGGCGGTGACGTCAGCGCGCTGGTGACGTCATGGCGTCAGCCACGGCCGCGTCCGGCCGCGCCCCGTTCCGGGTCGGGGGGCGGGACCGGGGGCAGCGCCCCCTAGCGGAGGCGCGGGACAGGGGATGGGAGGGGCCGGAGAGACCCCGCCCCCCAGTGTCCCCCAGTGTCCCCCGGTGTCCCCAGTGTCCCTCAGTACAGCCCCAGTGTCCCCAGTGCCGCCTAGTGTACCCCAGTACAGCTCCGGTGTCGCGAGTGTCCCCCCACTATCCCTTAGTGTCCTCCAGTACAGCTCCAGTGTCCTCAGCATCCCCCCGTGTCCCCCGGTACAGCCCCAGTGTCTCCAGTGTCCCCAGTGTCCCTCATTACTGGCCCGGTGTCCCCAGTACCCCCCAGTACTGCCCCAGTGTCCTCAGCGCGCCCCAGTGTACCCCAGTACAGCCCCAGTGTCCCGAGTGTCCCCTCACTATCCTTTAGTGTCCCCCAGTACAGCCCCTGTGTCCCCCAGTGTCTCCAGTGTCCCCCAGTGTCTCCAGTGTCCCCCAGTACAGCCCCAGTGTCTCCAGTGACTCCAGTGACTTCCAGAGCCCCACAGTGTCCCCCACTGTCCCCCAGCACAGCCCCAGTGTCCCCACAGTGCTCCCCTGAGCTCCCCAGCGCCCCCCAGTACAGTCCCGTAACCCCACGGTGTCTCCCGGTGGCCCCCGTGCCAGCCGCACCCCCTGCTGCTCCCTGGTGCCCCCCACACCTCTGGATGTCGCCCCCACCCCATCCCCGGGCCGTCAGCACCTCCCTCCCTCCTCATCCTGCTGCCGGGAGGGGACACCGGGACAAGGACGGCCGGGAAGAGCGGGAGGCTGTTCACGGGGTCTGGAGCACATTCCCGGGGGTCAGGAGTCATTCCCGGGGGACAGGACCCCATTCCTAGGGCAGGACCCCATTCCCGGGGGGCAGAACCCCATTCCCCGGGGCAGAACCCCGTTCCCGGGGGACAGGACCGCATTCCCGGGGGGCAGGACCCGTTCCCGGGGGACAGGACCCCGTTTCCGGGGGGCAGAGCTCATTCGTGGCTGCTCCGGGGACCGGAGCCATTCCCGAGGACAGGACCCCATGGCCGGTACCAGGAGTCTGTTCCTGGCGGCAGGATGTCCTTCCCGGTGGGACATGAGAACATTGCCGGGGGGCAGGAGCCGTTCCCGGGGCTGCAGGGTGTTCCCAGAGGACTGGAGCCCGTTCCCGGGGGCAGGAGCCGTTCCCGGGGGCAGGAGCCGTTCCCGGGGGCAGGAGCCGTTCCCAGAGGACTGGAGCCCGTTCCCGGGGGCAGGAGCCGTTCCCGGGGGCCAGGAGCCGTTCCCGGGGCCGCAGGGCGCTCCCGGGGCAGGATGGCATTCCCAGCAGCCCATGACGCCATTCCCGGGATCTATCCCATCCCACTGATCCCATCCCACCCCATTATCCCATTCCGTTATCCCACGCCATTATCCCACCCCATTATCACATCCCATCCCACCCCACTATCCCACCGATCCCATCGCGGCCCCTCCTCCCGCGCCCCGCGGCGGTGGGTGGGTGACCCGCGGGGCCGTCCCGGGGGCGGATTTGGGGGCAGATCCCAGGAAATGGGCTCATGCCGGCCCGGCGCCAGCGGCCCGCGGCTCGGTGCGCTCGGTGAGGCCGGGATGGCGCTGCCGGTGCGGCGGTGGCTGCCGCTGGCGCTGGCCCTGGCGCTGGCCCTGGCGGCGGCCGCGGGGCAGTCCCCGCTGCAGCGGCGCGTGGTGCGCGACGTGCTCGAGTATTTCCACGGGCGCAGCAACGTGCACTTCCTCTTCAAGGAGCGGGAGCTGGACGGGGTCATCGAGCGGGTCCGTAACGGCGCTCGCACCGGCAGCCGCACCCGGGAACGGGAACGGGCAGGGGGCGCGGGGGGAACGGGGAACGGGGAGGGGATGGAGCGGCCGGGAGGGAGCAGCGGTGAAAGGGTCAGCGAGGGGGTGGGCAGGGATTGGGATCGGGGATCGGGCGTTCAGGTTGGGGGTCCTGGAGGGGGCACGGGTGAACGGGGTCATCGGGCATGGGGGCAACAGGATTCGGGGTTGGGGTTCGGGGTTCAGGGTCTGGTATGACCATGGGAGTGGGGAGGGGATTGGGGTGTCCTGGAGGGACAGAGAGAGGGTTGGGGAGGGGATTGGGGTGTCCCAGGAGGAACAGGAGGGTTGGGGAGGGGATTGGGGTGTCCTGGGGGAGCAGAGAGGGTTGAGGTGTCCCAGGGGGAACAGAGAGGGTTGGGGAGGGGATTGGGGTGTCCCAGAAGGGACAAAGAGAGGGTTGGGTTCGGGATTGGGGTGTCCTGGAGGGACAGAGAGGATTGGGGAGGACATTGGGGTGTCCCAAGAGGAACAGGAGGGTTGGGGTGGGGATTGGGGTGTCCTGGATGGAACAGGAGATGAACAGGATTGTCCAGCAGGTGAATTTGGGATTCGGGGTTCACGATCCAGGATGGCCGCAGGAATGGGGAGGGGGTCGGGTGTCCCACAGGGAGGGGGTGAGCACAGGGTGCCCCGGGGTGCCCGGGACCGGCCGTGCTGGCCGGGCTCAGCTCGGTTATTCATTAACAGATCCAAACTGATCCCGGTGCCCCCGGAGCCGGGGCCATCCCGGGGTGCCCCTGCACGCTGTCCCGTGTCTGGGGAGGGCCAGGACTCCAGGGACCCCCACCCTGGGCCACGTGCCCACCTTGGGGCCACCCCGGGGTCGTTCCTGGGATGGGTTTGCCTGAGGGTTTCCAGCATTCAGGATCCCTCCCAGGGTTCAGGGTCCCTCCTGGGATTCGGGGTTCCTGTGGGAGCTTTGGGGTCCCTCTCAGGGGTTGGCATCTGTGGGGCTCAGGATCTCCCCCAGCATTTGGGGTCCCTGTGGGGTGGTTGGGTCACTCCTGGGGTTTGGGGTCTCTCTGGGGGCTGCATTCCCTGGGGGTCTGTGGGGTCTGGGAGTCCCTGCGGAGGTCGGGATCCCTCTGGGGAGCCCTGCCGTGCTGTGCCACGCCCTGCCACGCCCTGCCACCCCTGTTCCCCCAGGAGGACCCTTCGGGGACCTTTGTGCAGCTCCGCCTGGGCCTGGCACAGACCACGTGTCGGAAGCGAGCGCCGCAGCGGCACTGCCGGGTGCTGGAGAGCCGGGTGAGGCACCTGGGGACATGTCCTGAGGTGTCCCTGCTCCCCGGGGACTGTCCTGGGCTGTTCCTCCTCCCTGGGGACATGTCTTGGGACTGTCCTTCCTCCCCTGGGGCACCTGGGGTGTCCCTTTTCCCCTGGGGCCCATCCCTGGGTGTTCCCTATCCCTTGGGCCATCCCTGGGTGTCCCTCATCCCTGGGTGTCCCCTCTCCCTTGTCCCCATCCCAGGACTCCCCCAGACCCCCTGTCCCCCCCGCGGGTGCTGTGGGTGGCTCAGAGGGGACGGTGTGGATGCCCGAGGGTCCCCAGGGCTCCCGGGGGTGACATCCCCGGCTGTCCCCAGCGCAAGCCGACCTGCCTGGCCTGCTACAAGTTCGACGCCGGCGACGCGCCCAAGGTGCTGGACAAGTACCACAACTGCGGCCCCAGCCACCACCTGGCGGCCAAGGTGAGGCGTCCCCGGTGCCCCCCGGTGCCCCCCGGCGCGCGCCCGGCCGGTGCCAGCCCCTGTGTGCCCGCAGGAGATCCGGCAGCGCGACGAGGCCGAGTGCCGGGCGGTGGAGGAGGCGGGCAGAGGAGGGGACACGCCGTACCTGCCCGGGATGTTCGCCTTCTCCCGGGGGCTGCCGGCCTAGGTGGGTACGGGGACAGGGGGCAGGGGGCACAGGGAGCCCATCGCAGCCCCTCCGTGTCCCCTGGGTAAAGGTGGGTACGGGGACAGGGGGCACAGGGAGCCCATCGCAGCCCCTCCGTGTCCCCTGGGTGGGTATGGGGACAGGGGACAGGGGGCACAGGGAGCCCACCACAGCCCCTCCGTGTCCCCTGGGTGGGTACGGGGACAGGGGGCACAGGGAGCCCACCACAGCCCCTCCGTGTCCCTTTCCAGGCTCCACGGCACCGATGGACGCTGCCACCGCCTGCCCCGCTTGTCACCCCCCGGCCCCCTGTGACCCAGGAGGGTCCTGGACGTGTCCCCCCCTCCTGCCTGTCCCCTCTTGTCCCCAATAAACCCAGCGCTGGCTCCGCTCTCACGGCTCTTGTTTCACCTGGCACCCCCCAATGTCCCCAGAGATGAGATGGGGACACGCTGGGTGGGCAGTGGGCTCCGTGTCACCACTGCCTGTGTCACCCCTTGTCCCCAGCGCTGAAAGACAGGGACATGATGGGTGAGAGACCCCAAGGCGCAGGACAGAGGGACACTGGAGGGTGGGACATGTTTAATGCACAGTGCCACCATGTGCCCTGTCCCCGAGATGTCCCCCAGCCGAGGCTGGGCTCCCCACGGCTGCTCTGCTGCTCCCTGGGGATCCTCTCCTGGGCTGGGGCGGCTCTGGGGGTGCCCCAGCTCCAGCGTGGGGGTCCCAGGGCTCACAGGAGGAAGGACACAGGCTTGTGGTGGCTCTGGGGGTCTCAGGGTGACACTGTGGGCTCTGGGGGCTTTCCTGGATCCATTTCTGGGCTCCCATGGAGAAGGAAATGAACTTGGGCAGGGGTGGCACTGAGGGGCTCCCAGCCCTGGTTTTGGAGTCCCACAGCTCACACTGTTGTGGCTCTGGGGGTTTTCCTGGCTGCATTTTTGGGGTCCTGTGGCCCACATGATGGTGGTTCTGGGGGCTCTTTCTCCTGGTCCCATTTTCAGGGTCCTGTGGCTCAGATGATGGCAGCTCTGGGGGTTCTCCTGGCCCTGTTTTTGGGCTCCTGTGGCTCAGATGATGATGGCTTTGGGCTGTGGTGGCTCTGGGGATTCTCCATTCCCACCTTTGGGGGCTCTCCATTGCCATCTTTGGGGGTTCTCCATTGCCATCTTTGGGGTCCTGTGGCTCAGATGGTGATGGCTTTGGGCTGTGGTGGCTTTGGGTGTTCTCCATTGCCATTTTTGGGCTCCTGTGGCTCGGATGATGGTGGCTTTGGGCTGTGGGGGTTCTCCATTCCCACCTTTGCGTTCCCCAGCCCAGCCAAGGCCGCCCCCGGCCCGCGCGTCCCCGCGGCGCTCAGAACCCGAAGTCGCCGTGCTGGCGGCGGCCGAGGGCGCGCTGTGCCTGCGCGATGGAGTCGTCGGCGCGGCGGCCGAGCTCGCGGCACTCGCGCAGGGCCTGGCCCAGCTGCCGCGTGGCCTCCTCCAGCACGGCGCTGCGCCGCGCCGGCCGCGCCTCCCAGAACCCGGCGCGCACCCAGGGCTGCGGGGGCTCCGCGGGCGCCGCGGCGGCGGGCGCGCCCTCCCCGTCCAGCGCCGCGTCCAGCTCGCGGCACAGGCGGAAGAGCTCGCTGCCGCGGCCCGCCACGCGCTGCCCGTCGATGGCCTTGAGGCCGGGCAGCATGGCGGCCAGCGCGGCGCGGTAGGCCGGCGCGGCGCACAGCGGGTTGGCCAGGCCGCCGCGCGGGTCCCGCAGGCGCAGGCTCTCCAGGTGCCGCAGGCCCCGCAGGCAGCGCAGCTGGCGCAGGCTGCGCAGGCGGTTGCCCGCCAGGTTGAGCTGGCGCAGGCTGCGGCAGCCCCGCAGCGGCTCCACGCTGGCCACGCGGTTGGCGGCCAGGTTGAGCACGGCCAGGGCGCGCAGCGCGGCCAGCGGCGCCAGCCCCGCGATGGCGTTGCCCGACAGGTCCAGCCACTCGAGGTTGGAGCAGTCGGCCAGGCAGCCCAGGTGCGCGATGCCGCGGCCCCGCAGCCGCAGCAGCAGGATGGACTCCAGCGAGAACTCGCCCGTCGTGGCCTTGAGCAGCGCCGGCGTCACCCGCACCCCGGAGCCTTCGTCCTCCTCCTCCTCCTCTTCCTCCTCCTCCTCCTCCGAGGGCTCCGACACCTCCGGCTCCTCTGGCGCCTCCTCCCCGCGCCCCTCCATCCCTACGGGGAGGTCCTGGGGGGACAGCGGGGCTGGGGTGGCACCGGTGACCCACTGAGATGGCCTTGGGGTGTCCTGGGGTGTGGGGACACGTGTGGTGTGCGAGTGGGGCACAAGGACACACGTGGGGCATGACTGGAGGTGTCACCTGTTCCTCCCCATGCCCCTCCATCCCCATGAGGGCTCCCGATCAGGAAAAGGGGCTGAGGGTGGCACTGGGGAATGGCTCTGGAAGGACACTCTGGTGTATCCAGGGCTGTGGGGACACGTGTGGGACACATCTGTGCAGGAACTGGGGGGCAGAGACATATGTGGGAAACATCTGGGGGTGTCTTGGGGGGGTGGGGACACCGGTAGGACCCAAAGGCCATTGGTGTGGTCGGGGGACACGCGGGGGTCATTTCTGGGGTGAACCTGGGGCACAGGGACAGCCCCAGAGCCCACGGGGAGCCCCCACATCCCAACCGGCCCTCACCCCCACACCCCCCAGACCCACCGTGTTCCATCCCCCGGTGCCCCCAGACCTCCCCATTCCCCCCGTCGGTGCCCCCGTTACACCGCAGCGCTCCCGCATCCAGCCCCGTCCCCACAGATCCCCCCCCCGTTCCCTCCCCGCTGCTCCCAGATCCTTTTGTGGTGCCCCCGTGACCACCCCCGAGCCCCTCCATTCCACCCGCCCCTCTCCGCCCCCCAGGTCCCCCAAAATTCCCCAAATTCCCCAAATCCCCCCCAAATCCCCGCTCCCCCCCCGCCCCCCCCCCCGGCTCTCACCGCACGGCGGCTCCCGGCGGCCCCCGAGGCCCCGCCCCCTGTTGCCATGGGGACTGGACCCGCCCCCGTTGCCGTAGGGACGAGGTCCCGCCCACCATGAGGCCACACCCCCGTCTCGCCCCTTGTTTTGGTCACGCCCCTTCCCCGGGGCCACGCCCCCTTCTTCCGCCCCACGCCCCCCGCTGCCCCCGGCCCGTGTGCGGGGCCCGCGATCCCGGAGATTTCCATAAAAACGGGGCTTTATTGGCACTGCGGGACACCCCCGCCGCCCCCTGCCCATGGGGGGAACACCCCTCCCGGAGATTTCCATAAAAACGGGGCTTTATTGGCACTGCGGCCTCACCCCTGCCGCCCCCTGCCCGCGACCGGGACACCTCTCCCGTCCCCGCCCTGGGGTCCTCCCGCGTCCCTCTCACCGGGGGCTTTCCAGCGCCACCGGCCACCACGCTCCGGGGCCGCTCCTGCGCCGCTGCCCGTGGCAGAACGGGCCGGGATCCTCTGGGATGCTGTGGGATTCCCCCTGCCGGGGCCCCCGGCACATCCCGGCGCTCAGGACGTGGCACCGGCGCATCCTGGCACCTTCAGGGCTGAGGGGTCACCACCGGCACTGCTGCAAGCACTGGCACGGCTCGGTGCAGAGTGCCAAGGATGCAGCACTGGCAGCAGCTGGGAAACCCAGCCCTTCCCAGTGCTCAGGATGTGCCACTGGGGAACCTGGCACACCCCAGTGCTCAGGATGTGCCACTGGCAGCCACTGGGGCCCCCTGGCACATCCCCGGCAGCCATCAGGGTCCATGGCACCTGCCAGCACCTCCTGGCACTGCAGCGCCAAGGACTCACCACCGGCATCCACCGGAGTCCCTGGCACCTGCGGGCGTTCAGGGGCACAGGGTGGGGGGCTCTGGCCAGCCCAGCTGGGACCCAGTGACACCGGTGCCAGTGGCAGAGGTGGCTGTGGCCATCCCCGCACCGGTGGTGCCCGTCCCCATCCCCGTGCCCGTCCCCATGCCCGTCCCTGTGCCCGTGCCGGTGCCGTGGGTGCGCTCGTGGCGCTCCAGGTGCGTTTTGCGGGTGAAGCCGCGGCCGCAGCGGGCGCAGTGGTGCGGCCGCAGCCCCGTGTGCACGGCCTGGTGCCGGCCCAGGTTGGTCTTGGAGCTGAAGCGGCGGCCGCAGCGGGCGCAGGCGTGGGGCCGCGTGCCCGAGTGCACCAGCAGGTGCCGCGCCAGGTGCGCCTTGCGCCCGAAGCCGCGCCCGCACTGGGGGCACGCGAAGGGGCGCTGGGCAGGGGGCACCTGCGGGTCCTGGGGGTCCTGGGTGTGGCCCTGGCTGCTTTTGGCACCGGGCACGTGCGGCTGGTGCTGGTGGTCCTGGGCACCGGGTGCCTGCGGGGGCTGCAGGAGGGGCGTGGGGTCCTGGGCACAGCCGTGGCTGCCGTTGGCACCGGGCACCTGTGGCAGGAGCTGGGGGTCCTGCACGAAGGGGGGCTCGGCCGTGGGCACCGGTGGGGGGTGCTGGGGGTCCTGGGCCCCGGGCTCCTGTGGGGGCTGCAGGGGGTGCTGGGGGTGCTGGGCACAGCCGAGGGCTTGGCTCTCCAGATGCTGCCACAGGTGCGAGGATGAGTTCTGCTTCCAGGGGATGCCCGTGCCACACTGGGGGCAAATGAGCAGATTCTCCTCGGCAGGGCCGTCCCCGTCCCCGTCCCCGCACTCATCCAGGTGTCCGTTCCCAGCTGCCGGCACCGCTCCCGCGTGCAGCCCCAGGTGCGGCGCGGGGCTCCGCTTCCAGGCGAGGCCGATCTCACACCCCGGGCAGGGCAGCGGCTTCTCCTCGGCAGGGCCGTGCCCGTCCCCGTGGCCCGGGGCGGGGTCCCCGTGCAGGCGCAGGTGGCGCAGCAGGTGCTGGCGGTGGGCGAAGCGGCGGGCGCAGCGCGGGCAGGGGTGCGGCCGCTCGCCGGTGTGCGTGCGCAGGTGCCGGTCCAGGTGCGTTTTCTTGCGGAAGCGGCGGGCGCAGCGCGGGCAGGGGTAGGGCCGCTCGCCGGTGTGCGTGCGCAGGTGCGAGCGCAGGTGGATGCGCTGGCGGAAGCGGCGGCCGCAGTGCGGGCACGGGAAGGGCCGCTCGCCCGTGTGCACCCGCAGGTGCCGCGTCAGGTGCGCCTTCTTGCCGAAGGCCTTCCCGCACTGCGGGCAGCAGAAGGGCCGCGGGCCGGGCTGCGAGCAGCGCCCGCCGGGGCCGGGGCTCATCCCCGCGCCCGTGCCGGCGCCCATCCCGAAGGCGATCCCGATGCCGTCCAGGTGCGGCCCCGGCCCCCAGGCCGGCAGCACCCCGTAGCCCAGCTCCTCGGGGCACGGCTCCTCCGCCTTGCAGGCGCCGGCCATCCCCGGGGGCCCGGCGGGCTCGGGGGGGAGGGCGCCGGGCAGGGGCGGCGGCGCCAGCGGGGCCCCGGTTCCGGCCGCGGCCGCCCAGGCCTCGGCCTCATCCTCCTCCTCCTCCACCTTCACCTTCCGCACCAGCCACGGCTCTGCGGGGACACGGGAGGGGACGTGCCAACGCCAGGGCACGGCCACCGGGACACGGGAGCTGCCACCCGAGGACGCGGAGCTGCCACTGGCACCGGGCACGGTGACCGCCAAGGCCAACGGCACCGGGGACGTGGTGACCGTCACTTCAAGGACCTGGCACGGTCCCTGGCCTGGGGACACGGTGACCGTGCCCCAGGGACCCAGCGCTGCCACCAGCCCCAGGACAGGGTGGCAGTGCCCGTGTGGCCCCCGCTCCCGGGACACGCCTGGCACTGCCGCTGCGCCCGTCCCTCACCTGAGTCGTGCAGCTCTGGCTCCCCTGGGTCATCCCTCTCATCCTCGGGGGGCACCTCCGCCTTGGGGACCACCAGCCGTTCTGGGGTGACAAAGAGCCACAGACAGGTCCCTCCCGGCTCAGGGGGGCCCCGAGCCCCCCGGGCCCCACCGAGACCCCCCCGAATCCCCCAGTGCCCACCTGAGCCGGTGCATCCCGGTGCTTCCATCTCCTGCGGCTCCGTCCTGGCCACGGGGGGACCTGCGGGGCGGGAGCACGGGGTGAGCCCCCCCAGACCCGAGCTCGGGACCCCCTGCCCGGCGGGGGTCGGGATCCCCGGGACCCCCGGGCACGGTGGGGGCGGACACTCTCCTGTCCTGCCTGGTGGGTCTGGAGGGGTTCGGGGGCAATCCGGGGGGGTTCAGGGGGGTCAGGCAGGGTTCGCAGGGATCCGGGGGGCTCTCGGGGGATTCCGGGGGGCTCTGGGGTGTTCCAAGGGGTTCCCGTGGAGCGGCGTCCCCGTCCTGGTGCCCCAGGAGCTCACGGCCACCCCAGCCCCGTTCTCCGCCCGCCCTGGGCCCCCCCGTACCCCCACCCGAGCCCCTTTCGCAGCCCCAGCCCCCCTCGGTCGCCCCCCGAGCCGTTTTTGTTCCCCGCTGTCCCCTCCGCGCCCCCTTCCCGTCCCCGCCCGCCCATCCTGCCCCTCCCCGCCGGCCCCCCGCCCTTCCTGCCGCTCCCGGTGCCGCTCTCGGCCACGATCCCGCTCCGCTCCCGCTCCCGCCGTACCCGCGGCCTCGGGGCTGCCCCGGCCCCACCGGCGCCGCCGCCGGCGCCGCCGCCGCCGCCGCCGCGCCCCGCCCCCCGCGGTGGCCGCCGGTCCCCCCGCCCCGCCGGGACCGCCCCCCCGTGCCCGCACCCCCGCGCTCCCCCCGGTGTCCCCGGTGTCCCTGTGTGTCCGCACCACTGTGCCGTACCGCGTGTGGGGGGGACACGGACACGGACACGGCTGGGCTGGGGACAGCATGGGGGGGCATGGGGACACGGACGGGGACACGGTGGGGACACAGACAGGGACACAGAGGGGACACGGACAGGGACATGGCTGGGGACAGCCTGGGGGGGGCATGGGGACACAGACAGGGACACAGGGGGGACACGGGGGAGACATGGACAGGGACACAGGGGGGACACGGACACGGCTGGGCTGGGGACAGCATGTAGGGGGCATGGGGACACGGACAGGGACACAGGGGGGACACGGGAAGGGACACGGCTAAGTTCGGGGCGGCATGGGGGCCATGGAGACACGGACAGGGACACGGGGGGGACACGGGACAGGGACACAGGGGGGACACGGACAGGGACAGGAGCACACCAGAGGCCTTGGGGACACTCAGGGAGACGTGGGGACAACAATGGGCAAGGACACGGGGTAGAAACGGCGACACGAAGGGCATGGAGGGGACACGGAGGGCACGGGGGGACACAGGGGGGACACGGAGGACACTGTGTGGGGGGACATGGGAGAACACAGGACCGGGCTGTGAGGGTACACGGGGCTGGGAGGACACAGGAGACATGAGGGGACACAGGATAGGGACGTGGGGACACAGGGGGGCTGAGCGTGAGCAGGACCCGCTGTCCCGCCACATCCGTGTCCCCGCGCCCCGTGCCGGATCCCGGATGTCCCGTGCCATTGCCTTCTCCCGGGAAACGGGGAGATGTCACCCCCGTGTCACCATGGCCCCCGAGCCGCCAGCTGTGCCCAATCGGCGTCACCACAGCTGGTGGCACTTCTGGGGACTTCCCATAAATCCCGGAGCCACTGGGGCCGGTGAGCCAGAGCTGGGGCCGGTGAGTGGCGCTGGGGTGGGTGACACTGGGGTGGGTGCCATTGGGGTGAGTGACACTGGGGTGGGTGCCATTGGAGTGGGTGCCATTGGGGTGGGTGCCATTGGGGTGGGTGACATTGGGGTGACCCTGCTGGACCCCTGGCCGGGAGGACACGCAGGAATTGTGACCATGGGGACACCTGGATCCCACTTTTGCAGGGACACCGGATCGGCCATGGCCGCGGTGGCGGGGCCGGGGGTCACCGCAGGGGTGGCGGCCATCACGGTGCTGTGGGTGACAGCCGTGGGGGCAGCCACGGGGTGAGCAACGGGAACGGGAACGGGGAACGGGGAACAGGAATGGGAGTGGGAATGGGGAACGGGGACTGGGAATGGGGAATGGGGAATGGGAATGGGAAATGGGACAGGGAATGGGAATGGGAATGGGAACAGAGACTGGGGGACTGGGAACGGGGAATGGGGAATGGGGAATGGGGAATGGGGAATGGGGAATAGGGGATGGGAAATGGGACAGAAAATGGGAATGGGGATGGGAACAGAGACTGGGGGACTGGGAACGGGAACGGGGAACGGGGAACAGGAATGGGAGTGGGGAATGGGAAACGGGGACTGGGAATGGGGAATGGGAATGGGGAATAAGGGATGGGAAATGGGACAGAAAATGGGAATGGGAAGGGGAATGGGAATGGGAAATGGGAACTGGGAATGGGTTTGGGAGCTGGGAAAGAGAGCTGGGAATTGGAGGTGCAGAATGGAGATCGGGGCCTGGTACTGGGAATGGGGACTGGGAGCTGGGAATGGGAGGCAGGATCTGGGGTGGGAACAGGGTGGGAGCTGGGGCGGGTGCCAGAAGGCAGGATGGTTCCCTGGTGGGTGCCTGCGTGGAGCTGGGAGCTGGGGTGTGTGTCCGGAGTGGGGATGGATGGGGAGGGCCAGATGGGAGCTGGGCTGGAGCTGGGATTGTGCTGGGTGCTGGCGGGTGCTGGGCGGATCCCGGGGGTGTCCCGGGCGGATCCCGGGCGGATCCTGGACAGATCCCGCATGGATCCGGGCTGATCCCGGGCGGATCCCGGCGAATCCCGCGGCTGCCCGCAGGCGCTGGTGCGAGCGGACGGTGCTGGTGACGGAGCAGGAGGAGGTGAGGCCGCGGCGCGAGGCCGCGGTGCCGTGTCCCAGTTTGTACCAGTACAGCCTGGCCGGGTGGCGCCTGGACCGGGGCCGCACGCGCCGGGAGCGCGGCAGCTCCGACGGGGACACCGAGCCCGCCCTCTGCTACATCTACCGGTGAGCCCGGGGGGGATGTGGCACCGGGCGGCACCGCGGGACGCTGCGTGACACCGCGGGACGCTGCGTGACACCGCGCTGTCCCCGCAGCCCCCCGGAGGTGCGGCCGGTGGCGCAGAACCGCACGGAGCGCGGCTGTTGTCCCGGCTGGAGCGGGGCCCGCTGCACCGAGGGTCAGTGAGGGGGGACACGGGGGTGGCACCCGGGGACATTCCCACCGTGCCATTCCCACCGGGGACTGCGATGGGCGTCACTCCCACCGTGTCACTCCCACCGGGAGCTGGGAGTGGGGCTGAGTGCCAGGACGGGAGCTGGGATGGGAGGTGGGATGGGAACTGGGAGCCAGGATGGGAGATGGGATGGGAACTGGGAGCCAGGATGGGAACTGGAAGCTGGAACTGGTGCTGGGATGTGATTTGGGAGCTGGGATGGGAACTGGGAGCTGGCATGGGAGTTGGCATGGGAACTGGGAGCCAGGATGGGAACTGGGAGCCGAGACCGGTGCTAGGATGGGAACTGGTTGCTGGGGTGGGAACTGGGAACTGGAATGGGAACTGGGAGCTGGGATGGGAACTGGGAACTGGAACTGATGCTGGGATGTGATTTGGGAGCTGGGATGGGAACTGGGAGCTGGGACTGGTGCTAGGATAGGAGCTGGGAGCTGGGACTGGTGCTGGGATGAGAACTGGGAGCCAGGATGGGAACTGAGAGCTGGGATGGGAACTGGGAGCTGGCATGGGAGTTGGGATGGGAACTGGGATGGGAACTGGGACCTGGGATTTGGGAACTGGGAGTAGGGACTGGTGCTAGGATGGGAACTGGGATGGGAACTTGGAGCTGGGACTGGTGTTGGGATGGGAACTGGGAGCCAGGACGGGAGTTGGGATGAGCGACACTCCCACCACGTCATTCCCACTGTGATGCCCTCACTGTGCCATTCCCTGTGGGTGCTGGGAGGGGTGCTGGGGTGCATGCCATCCCCTGCACCCCTCGGTGTCACCGCTGTCCCCGTCCCGCAGGCCCCGGCTCCCTGGGCCGCTGTTTCAGCACGTGGCAGTGCCAGGACGGCGCGGGCCACAACGGCAGCGCCATGAGCCGCGCCGAGTGCTGCCAGCAGCCCTGGGGACGCAGCTGGCAGCGCGGGGACGCCGGCGGGCCCTGCCTGCCCTGCACCCGCCTGCCCCTGGGCGGGGACGGGGGCTCCCCGCGCCACCGCAGCCCCCCGGCCACGTGCCAGGCCTGGGCCGGCTCCCGATTCCGCACCTTCGACGGGCGGCACTTCGGCGTCACCGGGAACTGCCGGTACGGCCTGGCCAGCGCCACCGACGGCACCTGGGACGTCACCGTCGGCCTGGGACAGCCACGGGTACCAGGGGCACGGGGAGGGCACTCAGAGTCACTGCCAGCCTGGAACAGGGCTGGGGTGGATGGTGGGGACAGGGATGGGGGACAGCGCCTGGGACGTCACCATCGGCCTGGGACAGCCATGGGTACCAGGGGCACGGGGAGGGCACTCACTGCCAGTGGGGAATGGGGCTGGGATGGATGGTGGGGACAGGGATGGGGGACAGCACCTGGGATGTCACCGGCGGCCTGGGACACCCACGGGTGCCGGGGGGCACGGGGAGGGCACTCAGAGTCACTGCCAGCCTGGAACAGGGCTGGGATGGATGGTGGGGACAGGGATGGGGGACAGCGCCTGGGATGTCACCGTCAGACACACAGACACTGGAAAGGGGGACAGGATGGGTCACCGGGGTCACTGCTCCTGTCCCCAGAGGGGGAGTAGGGCTGGGAGCTGAGATGTGTGATGGGGTGGGAAATGGGGTGGGAAATGGGGTGAAAACTGGGGTGGAACTGGGGTGGGGACTGGGGTGGGGACTGGGGTGGGGACTGGGATGGGGACTGGGGTGGGGACTGGCAGCTGGGATGGGAGCTGGAATGGGTTTTGGGGCTGGGACGGGTTTTGGGGCTGGAATGGGTTTTGGGGTCTGGAATGGGTTTTGGGGCTGGGATGGGGTTTGGGGCTGGAATGGGTTTTGGGGTCTGGAATGGGTTTTGGGGCTGGGATGGGGATTGGGGCTGGAATGGGTTTTGAGGCTGGAATGGGTTTTGGGGCTGGGATGGGGATTGGGGCTGGGATGGGTTTTGGGGCTGGAATGGGGTTTGGCACTGGGATGGGTTTTGGGGCTGGGATGGGTTTTGGGGCTGGAATGGGTTTTGGGGTCTGGAATGGGTTTTGGGGCTGGGATGGGGTTTGGGGCTGGAATGGGGTTTGGCACTGGGATGGGTTTTGGGGCTGGGGTGAGTTTGGGACCTGGGATGGGATTTGGGATGGCACACCCATGGGTCCATCCCTGGCGGCCATGGCACATGTGAGTGTCCCACCACCATCCCCACTGTCCCTGGCACTCCTGAGCATCCCAATTGTCCCTGGCACACCTGAGTGTCCCGGTGCCACCCCCTGCCACAGGAGCTGCACATGACCTTCGGGACGGACACGGTGGTGGCCCAGGGACGGAACGTGTCGGTGAACGGGGCAGCGGTGCCAGAGGGACGCCCCTACCTGCACAAAGGTGAGGCCCCCAAGGTCCCCAAGGCCACCAGGCCGGGGCAGGGTGGGGATGAGCCCCCAGCACCATCAGGAAGCACCAGGACAGGGTGATCAACCAGCTGCCACTGACTGGGATCCCTGTCCCCATCGTGTCCCCATCCCCATCTCCGTGCGCAGGGCTCGGTGTCACCTGGCCGGGCGACTGGGTGGCCGTGGCCAGCAGCCTGGGTGTGCGGGTGGCCTGGGACGGGCACCTGGCGGTGACAGTGACGGTGGAGCCCGAGCTGCGCGGTGGCACCTGGGGGCTCTGTGGCACCTACACCGACGACCCCGCAGGTGAGTCCCACACGCCCAGCGCCGCCCCCACCGCGCCTGGGTGACACCCCACGTGCCCCCACCCTGCCCGTGTCCCCCCCAGATGACTTCCTGCTCCCCGATGGGGACGTCGCCGCCATCGCCGCCACCTTTGCCAGCGCCTGGAAGGTGCCAATGGCCGGCACAGAGGTATCCGAGGGAGGTGGGCCAGGGTGACACCCCGTGCCCTCCGGGGGTCCCGGGGGTCGCCCCCGCGCTGAGGGACCCCCGGCTCAGCCCCCGTGCAGGGACGCGCCCGAGGGTGGCCCCAGGTGTGGCCCGGGGAACGCGGCGGCGGCGGCGGCCACGTGCGGGCGGCTGCTGGCACAGCCCTTCCGGCAGTGCCACGGCGAGGTCAGCGGTGCCAGGGGGGCTTGGGGGGCGCTGGAACGGCCGGGGGGGTCCATGAGGTCACGGGGGGGCTCCTGGGAGTTCCGGGGGATCCCAGAGTTGTTCTGGGATGTCCTGGGGGCTTTTGGGGGGTTTGGGAGGGTCCCAGGGGGTTCCAGAGAGGCCTGGGGAGCCTGGGAACTTCCCGTGGGGTTCTGCAGGATCCCAGGGGGTCAACGGGGTCCGGGGTCCTGGGGTGTCTTGGGGATTCCGGGAGGTACTGAGAGGTCTGGGAGATTCTGGGAGTTCATCCCGAGGGAGGTCCTGGGGTCTTCTGGGGTCTTCTGGGATGTTCTGGGATGTTCTGAGATGTTCTGGGATGTTCTGAGATGTTCTGGGGTCTTCTGGGCTGTTCTGAAATGTCCTGGGCTGTTCTGGGATGTTCTGGGGTCTTCTAGGGAGTCTTTGAGGATTCTCACTGCTGCTCCCCTCCCAGGTGGATCCCAGCGGGTTCTATGCGGCGTGTGTGGCACTGCTGTGCGGGGACGGGGACCCCCTGTCACCCCCCGGTCCCCTGCCATCCCCTGATCCCCTGTCACCCTCTGATCCCCTGTCACCTCCCGATCCCCTGTCACCTCCCGATCCTCTGTCACTCCCTGATCCCCTGCCATCCCCTGATCCCCTGCCACCCCCCGGTCCCCCCGTTCCCGCTCCCGCCGCCGCCTGTGCCACGTTCGCCGCCTACGCCCGGGAGTGCTCCCGCCGCCAGCTCCCCGTCCCCTGGCGCCGCCCCGGCCTCTGCGGTAGGAACCGGGGCTGTCCCCCCGCCCGCCGCCCCCTCCCCGCCGTGCCCCGGTGCCACCGCGGTGTCGCCTGTCCCCAGAGCGCCGCTGCGGGGCCGGGCAGCGCTTCTCGGACTGCGTGTCGCTGTGCCCCGTCACCTGCGCCACCGCGGGCGGCGCCGAGCCGGGCCCGTGCCAGCGCCACTGCCACGGCGGCTGCGAGTGCGGCCCGGGGCTGGCCCGGGACGGCCCCGGCTGCGTCCCCCCGGCCGCCTGCCCCTGCCACCACCGGCGGCAGCGCTACGAGCCCGGCCAGAGCATCCGCCAGCGCTGCAACCGATGGTGGGTGGCACCGCGGGGACAGCGGCGGCTCCGGGCTGGGGGGACACCCACTGGGGGCGACCCCGCTGATGGGCAGCCCCAGGGTCCCCTTTGGAGCGTCCCCCCCGTCCTGGTGTGCTCCACGGTGTCCCCTCACCCCGGGGTCCCTGTAGAGTGTCCCCCGTTATCCCAGGTTCCCTGTGATGTCCCCCAGTGTCCCCTGCCACATGTCCCCCCCAGCCTGGTGTCCCCCATGGTGTCCCCTCACCCCGGGGTCCCTGTAGAGTGTCCCCCTTCATCCCAGGCTCCCTGTGACGTCCCCCATTGTCCCAGTGTCACCTGTCATGTGTCCCCCATCCTGGGGTCGCTCCAGGTGTCCCCCAAGCCTGGAGTGCCCCGCAGTGTCTGGGGTGCCCCGCAGTGTCCCCCCCTTCCCTCAGCTCCCCTTTCCCCGCGCTGAGCGGTGTCCCCGGTGTCCCCAGCACGTGCGAGGGTGGCCGCTGGCGCTGTGAGCAGCAGCGGTGCCCGGCCGAGTGCGCGGTGCTGGGGGGACGTCACTTTGTCACCTTCGACCGCCGCCGCTTCTCCCTGCCGGCCGCGTGCGCGCACACCCTGCTGGAGGTGAGGGGACACGGGGACATCGGGGCTGGCCGGGCGGTGACGGGGCGCAGCTCTGGGGGTGGCCGTGGTGCTGTGCTGGTGGCGGGGAGGTGGCCGCGGTGGCCGTGGGGGTGATGGGGGCAGGTGGCCGTGGTGGCCGTGGCGGTGGCTTGGTGGGTGGTGGCCGCGGTGACAGGGCTCTCTCGGGGTTGTCACCGTGTCGCTGTCCCCAGGACTTCGTGTCGGGGCGGCTGCTGATCACAGCCGAGCACGAGCCGTGTGACAGCCACCTGGGCTGTCCCCGCAGCCTCACCGTCATCACCAGCCGCACCACGGCGCGGCTCCACGGCACAGGTGACACACCTGGACAGGACAGGGACCCGGACCGGGACTGGCATTGTCCCCGCACCCTGGTGGTGGTGTGGCAGCCGCCCCAGTGCCTGTCCCCAGTGTCCCTGTGGCAGTGGTCTCATCCCTGTGCCCACCCCCCTGTCCCTACGGCAGCGGGTGACATCTCAGTACTGGTCCCCAATGTCCCTTGTAGCAATGGTCTCATCCCTGTGCCACCCTCTTGTCCCCATGGCAGCTGGTGACATCTCAGTGCCCGTCCCCAGTGTCCCTGTGGCAGTGGTCTCATCCCTGTGCCCACCTCCCTGTCCCTACGGCAGCGGGTGACATCCCAGTGCCCGTCCCCAAGGCTCCGTGGCAGCGGGAGCCACTCCGGTCCCTGTCCCTGCTGTTCCCGTACCGCCCATCGCTTCTGCCCCACGGTGCCACTGCTGTCGCCCGCAGGGGAGGTGACAGTGGCCGGGCGGGAGGTGACGCTGCCCTTCTCCGGTGCCGGGCTGAGCATCCGCCGCGCGTCCTCGGCCTTCCTGCACCTGCAGCTGCCCGAGGCGCACCTGCTCTGGGGTCTGGGCACCCCCGACACCTTCATCACCCTGCAGCCCGCCATGGCCGGCGCGGTGAGCGGGAACGCCGGGGGCTGCGGGTGGGCCAGGGGGACGGAGCCGCTGGGATGGGGCTGGGCTGGGATGGAGCCGCTGGGATGGGGCTGTGTCCTGCTCTGGGGTGGAGCCGCTGGGATGGGGTTGTGCTGGCATCCGGGATGGAGGCGCTGGGATGGGGCTGTGTCCTGCTCTGGGATGGAGCCGCTGGGATGGGGTTGTGCTGGGATCCGGGATGGAGGCGCTGGGATGGGGCTGTGTCCTGCTCTGGGATGGAGCCGCTGGGATGGGGTTGTGCTGGGATCTGGGATGGAGGCGCTGGGATGGGGCTGTGTCCTGCTCTGGGGTGGAGCCGCTGGGATGGGGTTGTGCTGGGATCCGGGATGGAGGCGCTGGGATGGGGCTGTGTCCTGCTCTGGGATGAGGTTTTGTCGAGCTCTGCCCTGCTCCGGGCAGGTGCGGGGGCTCTGCGGGACCTTCAACGGGGACCAGCGCGACGAGTTCACGACGCCGGAGGGGGACGTGGAGCCGGGAGTCGCCGCCTTCGCCAACGCCTTCCGGGCGGCTGGAGCGTGCCCGGCGCTGGGCCCCGGCGTTCCCGACCCCTGCGACGGCTTCCCCGGGAGCCGGGAGCGCGCCGAGGCCGCCTGCGCCGTGCTCCTGGGGCCGGCCTTCCAAGTGAGCCCCGGCGCGGGGGCAGCGGGGACGGGGGACGCGGTGTGACAGTGTCCCCTTGGGCACGGCTGCGACCATGTCCCCTCCGGCACAGCCGTGTCACCGCGCCGTGGACCCGGAGCCGTTCCTGGAGCTGTGCCGCTGGGACGTGTGCTCCTGCCGGGACCGGGAGCGGGAGCGGGAACTGGAGCGGTGCCTGTGCCCCGCGCTGGGCGCCTACGGACGGGAATGCGCCCGGGAGGGAACCGAGCTGGAGTGGAGGAACCGGAGCCTCTGCGGTGGGATGGGAAAATGGGATAATGGGATAGTGGGATAGTGGGATAGTGGGATGGGATAACGGGATTACGGGATAACGAGATGGGATGGGATGGGATGGGATGGGATGGGATGGGATGGGATGAGATGGGATGATGGGGTGGGATGGGATGGGTTTGGTATTGGGATGGGGAATGGGAATGGGATCGATGGGATGGGAATGGGAATGGGAATGGGGATGAGATGGGAATAGGAATGGGAATGGGAATGGGAATGGGAATGGGAATGGGGATGGGAATGGGGATGGGAATGGGAATGGGAAGGGATGGGAGGGGATGGGAATGGGATAATGGGATGGGATGGGTTTGGTATTGCGATGGGGAATGGGAATGGGATCGATGGGATGGGACAGAATGGGAATGGGGATGGGATAATGGGATGGGATGGGTTTGGTATTGGGATGGAGAATGGGAATGGGATGGGAGGGGATGAGATGAGGTGATGTCTGCCCCCCAGTGACCCCCCTGTCCCCCCAGACGAGCCGTGTCCCGGGGGGCAGCAGTACCGGGACTGTGGGGGTCCCTGCGGCCGCTCCTGCCCGGAGCCCCCCGGCGGCAGTGACTGTCCCCCCCCGGACACCCTCTGCGTCCCCGGCTGTCGCTGCCCCCCGGGGCTGCTGCTGGCGCAGGGCGGGCAGTGCGTGCCCCCCGCCGCCTGCCCGTGCCCCCGCGGTGCCCGCCTGTACCCGCCCGGTGCCCGCATCCGCCGCGGCTGCCAGGCCTGGTGCGTTCCGCCGGAACCTGGGGGTCCCGGGGGGTTCGGGGCCCGGAGGGTCACCCACAGCACGGGGGTCCCCGGCAGAATGCGGCGGTGACGGTGAACGTGATGAAAACCCCTCCAGCCCGGTGTGACACCCGCGGGACTGGGGGACTTTTGTCCCGTGTCCCACCGTGGGGACAGCGACGGGGACACGGCACAATGAGGGGCCTGGGTAGGGGGTCTCGGTGGGATGTGGGGCCCTGGGGATGGGGGTGCAGGGCGCCGGTGGGATTTGGGTGCTGGGAGATGAGGATGGGGGTGCAGAGACTCCCATTGTTGTGCGGGGATGAGGGGTGGGGATGGGGACATGGGGACCTCGGCATGGGGGCTCAGCGGAATGTGGGGGCTGGGGCTTGGGGGACCCCGATGAGGGGGCTCGGATGGTTGGGAGGGAGCTGGAGATGGGGGTGTGTACCCCAGAGTGGGGTTCGGTGGGATTTGGGTTCTGGAATTTGGGGCGGGCCGAGGGGTCTCACACGGACGGGGTCCCTCCCGCCCCGCAGCGTGTGCGCGCGGGGGTCGTGGCGCTGCGCCCCCGGCCCGTGTCCCCCTGCCCCGCGCTGTCCCCCGGGGCTGCTGCACGCTCCCGGCTCCTGCCTGCGCCGCTGCGACCCCGCCGAGCCCTCCGGCACCTGCGGCGGCCCCGCCGACGGCTGCGTGTGTCCCCCCGGGGCGCTGTTCCTGGTGGGTGACACCCGGGGGATGGGGGGGCTGTGGGACCCCCCCCGAGCCCCCCTGACCGCGGTCTGCCCGCAGGACGGGCGCTGCGTGTCGCCGGAGCAGTGTCCCTGTCACCACGGCGGGCGGCCGTACCCGCCCAACGCCACCATCGCCCGCGACTGCAACACCTGGTGGGACCCCCGGCGCCCCCAGACCCCCCGGGACACCCCGGGCCCCGCCGGCCCCGCGGTGGCACCGAGCCTGTCCCCGCAGCGTGTGCCGGGGCCAGCGGTGGCGCTGCGGGCGCCGGGAGTGCGCGGGGACCTGCGTGGCCACGGGGGACCCGCACTATGTCACCTTCGACGGCCGCGCCTTCACCTTCGCGGGGGACTGCGAGTACCTGCTGGCCCGCGAGGCCTCCGGGCTGTTCGCTGTCACCGCCGAGAACGTCCCGTGCGGCGCCAGCGGCGTCACCTGCACCAAGTCCGTGCTGGTGGCCATGGGCAACACCGTGGTGCACATGCTGCGGGGTGAGGGACACGGGGACACGGGGACAGGGGAGCACGGGGGACATGGGGGGCACGGGGGACATGGGGGACATGGGCAACACCGTGGTGCACATGCTGCGGGGTGAGGCACACGGGGACACGGGAACAGGGGGGGCACGGGGGACATGGAGAGGACACGGGGACATGGGGGACATGGGGGACATCGGGGACACAGGGGACAGGGAGGACATGGGGACACCGTGGTGCACATGCTGCGGGGTGAGGGACACGGGGACATGGGGGACATGGGGAACACCGTGGTGCACATGCTGCGGGGTGAGGGACATGGGGGACACGGGGACACAGGGACACGGGGACACGGGGGACATGGGGAACACCATGATGCACATGCTGCGGGGTGAGGGACACGGGGACACGGGGATGCGCGGGACACGGGGGGACACGTTGGGGGACACTTGGAGGGACACGGGGGGACACACGGGGGGACACATGAGGGGACACGGGGGGTGACCCTCGGTGCCACCCCGGCAGGGCGGGAGGTGACAGTGAACGGCGTGGCCGTGCGACCCCCCAAGGTGTTCGGGGGCTCGGGGCTGGCGCTGCAGCGCGCGGGGCTCTTCCTGCTGCTCCTGACGCGCCTGGGGCTGGCCGTGCTCTGGGACGGAGGTGAGAGCCGGGGGACACGGGGGACACGGGGGGACACGGGGGGACACGGGGGACACGGGGGGACACGGGGCTGGCCGTGCTCTGGGACGGAGGTGAGAGCCGGGGGACACGGGGGACACGGGGGGACACGGGGGGACACGGGGGACACGGGGGGACACGGGGCTGGCCGTGCTCTGGGACGGAGGTGAGAGCCGGGGGACACGGGGGACACGGGGGGACACGGGGGACACGGGGGGACACGGGGGTCCCTGGGCAGTCCCTGGGGGTGGCCGGGGGGACACGGGTGGGGGTCGTCAGTGCCGGGGGGCTGCTGGCGCTGCCGGTGCCAAGGCGATGCCACCACGGCGAGGTCCACAATGCCACCACGGGGGTGTCACCACATGGGGTACCTGGTGCCACCGCGGGGTTCGCAGTGCCGGTGCCACCACGGGATGGTCCCGGGGGGTCCCGGGGGGTCCCGGGGGGTCCCGGGGGGGTCCCGAGCCCCGATGTGCCCCCTGGGTGCCCACAGGGACCCGCGTGTACGTGCGCGTGTCCCCGCGGCTGCGCGGCCGCCTGGCCGGGCTCTGCGGGAACTTCGACGGCGACGCCGAGAACGACTTCGGGAGCCGCGACGGGGCCCTCGAGGCCACCCCCGAGATCTTCGGGGACTCCTGGCGCCTCAGCCCGCTCTGCCCCGAGGCCGACGGCCACCGCCCGCACCCCTGCGAGGTACGGGGACGGGGGCAGGGGGGACGGGGGGGAACATGGGGGGACATGGGGGGACAGCAGTGACACGGAGAGAGGTGGGGGATTGATTTGACAGGGGTACAGGGGAACTGGATGGGGACATCAGGGGACACGGGGAGACACAGGGGGGCACGGGGAGCTGGCAGGGGGACATTGTGGGTTACAAAAGGACATGGGGCTGGGGTGGCCCAGGTCAGTGAAGTCCCGGACGGGAGGAGGATGAGGATGAGGATGAGGCGGTGCCTCAGTCCGGGCTGGAATCCCCCGGAATTCCCACCCCCGGCACCCCGGCTGTGCCGAGCCCCGCCCGAACCGGGACAAAGGGGGCACACGGAGCGAGGGGGGCCCGGCTGGGGACACACGGGGGTCTGACACGGGGGTGCCCCCCAGGAGAGCCCCCAGCGCTCGGCCTGGGCGCGGGGGCGCTGCGGGGTCCTGCGGCACCCGCTGTTCGCGCCCTGCCACGAGCTGGTGCCGCCGCAGCGCTTCTACGAGTGGTGCCTGTTCGACGCCTGCGGGTGAGTTTGGGGGGCTCGGGGGGGGGCCCAGGGGGGTCCCGGGCCCTGTCCCACGGCTCCTGCCCCAGGTGTGACAGCGGCGGGGACTGCGAGTGCCTGTGCACGGCCCTGGCCGCCTACGCCGAGGAGTGCGGCCGGCGGGGGAGAGCCCTGCGCTGGCGGAGCCAGGGGCTGTGCCGTGAGTGCGGGGGAACGGGGGCACCGGGGGCATGGGGGGAACAGGGGGTGCGGGGGACTGGGCGACACGGGGGTACCGGGAGCGACATGGGATGCCGGGGGACTGGGGGGGTACCGGGGCTCCAGGGACCACGGGGAGCTGGGGGACACAGAAGGTCCCGGGGGTCCAGGGGGTACCAGGGGCTGGGGGACACGGAGGGGTCCCGTCCTGCCCTTGTGCTGGCGGAGCCAGGGGCTGTGCCGTGAGTGCGGGGGGACCGGGGGGCATCGGGGGGACCGGGGGCACGGGGGGCTGGGGGTACCGGGGGTATACGGGGGTCCAGGGGGCTGTGAGGCACGGGGATCCAGGGGGTGTGGGAGACTGGGGGGCACGGGGGGACCGGGGTACTGGGGAGGTATGAGGGGCACAGAGGGCTGAGGGGCAATGGGGTTCCCGGGGGTCCAGGGGGCACGGGGGCACCGGGGGTGCAGAGGACTGGGGGGCACGAGGGTACGGGGAGAGACATGGGGGTACCGGGGGACTGGGGGTGCACCTGGGGTCCAGGGGCGGTCTGGGGTCCCTGCACCCCCATTCTCATCTCCGGCACCCAAATCCCACGGGGAGCTGGGGGACACGAAGGGTCCCGGGGGTATGGGGGGCACGGGGGGTGCTGGGGGCTGGGGGGGTACCGGAGGTACAGGGGGCACAAGGGGCTGGGGGACACGGGGGGGTCCCGTCCTGCCCCTGCGCTGGTGGAGCCGGGGCTGTGCCGTGAGTCTGGGGGCGCTCAGGAGAGCACGGGGGGATACGGGGACACGGGGAGGTCCGGGCTGAGCCCCCGGTGGGATGTGCCGGGGTTGGGGGCCGGGAATGGGTCTGGGGGTGCAGGAGCCCCCCATGGGGCTATGGGGCGGGGTGGGATGCGGGGTGAGGGGCTGCAGGAGCCCCCCATGGGGCTATGGGGCGGGGTGGGATGCGAGGTGAGGGGGGTGCAGGAGCCCCCCATGGGGCTATGGGGCGGGGTGGGATGCGAGGTGAGGGGGGTGCAGGAGCCCCCCATGGGGCTATGGGGCGGGGTGGGATGCGGGGTGAGGGGCTGCAGGAGCCCCCCCATGGGGTTGTGGAGCGGGGGGAAGGGTCCGGGCTGTGGGACTGAGGGGGGGCAAAGGCCTCACATGGTGTTTAGGGGGTCCCCAGGCTGTGGGGCGGGGGGTCCCGGCCCCCCTGACCCCCCGATGTCCGCAGCCCTGCAGTGCGAGGGGGGGGCAGGAGTACAGCCCCTGCGGGCCCCCCTGCCCCCCCACCTGCCGCGACCTCGGCCGGGAGCCCCCCGAGCTCTGCGGGGCCCTGGGGTGCCTCGAGGGCTGCTTCTGCCCCCCCGGGCGGCTCCTGCACGGTGAGGGGGGCACAGAATGGGGCGGGGGGCTGGGGTGGGAGGGGACGGAGGGGGTTTGGGGGCTGGGGCGGGGGCTGGGGGGGCTGGGGTGGGAGGGACGGAAGGGGTTTGGGGGCTGGGGAGGCTGGGAGGGGGCTCTGGGGGACGGAAGGGGTTTGGGGGCTGGGAGGGGGCTGGGGGGGCTGGGAGGGGCTGGGGGATCACAGTGCCACCCCTGTGCCCCCCTCCCCAGACGGGCAGTGCGTGGAGCCCCCCGCCTGCCCCTGCTTCTGGGACGGCTTCGCCTTCCCGGCCGGGGCCAGCGTGAGCCAGGGCTGCAGCAACTGGTGAGGCACTGGGGGTACTGGGGACACTGGGGGACACTGGGGGGCACTGGGGGGTACTGGGGGCTACTGGGAGGCACTGGGGATACTGGGAGATATTGGGAGACACTGGGGGATACTGGGAGGCACTGGGGGGTACTGGGAGGCACTGGGGGACACTGGGAGGCACTGGGGATACTGGGAGGCACTGGGGATACTGGGAGACACTGGGGGACACTGGGAGACACTGGGGACACTGGGGGTACTGGGAGACACTGGGGATACTGGGAGGCACTGGGGATACTGGGAGCACGGGAACGGCATGCTGCGGGCACCGGGACACCAGGACATGGGGACACCAGGACACTGGGACAGCAGGTTGTGGGGACACAGAGGCACTGGGGAAATGGGATTTTGGGATCCTGGGTTCCCAGGACATTGGGACACCAGGGCATGGAGACACTGGGATTTGGGACACCATGACCCCAGGACATCAGGACGCTGGGACACTGGGACACCAGGATAGTGGGACACTGGGATGTGGGGTCACCAGGACACCGGGGACACTGGGACATCAGGGTGTGTGGGACACCAGGACACCTGGACATGGGGACACAGTAACACCGGGGAAATGGGATTTTGGGATCCTGGGTTCCCAGGACATTGGGACAGCAGGATATGCAGACACTGGGATTGGGGACCCCGGGACCCCTGGACACTGGGACACCGGGACATGGGGACACAGACACACCGGGGAAATGGGATATTGGGGTACAGGGAACCCAGGACATGGGGACACCAGGACACAGAGACACTGGGATTTGGGACCCCGGGACCCCTGGACACCGCAGGGACACCGGGGCACTGACCCTGGGACAGAGGGACGCCGGGGCACTGGGGGCACCCCGATGCCGGCCCCCCCGAGTGCCGCCCGTGTCCCCCCGCAGCACGTGCGTGGCGGGGCGCTGGCAGTGCCCCCCGAGCCCGGCGCCGTGCCCCGCCGCCCCCGCCTGCGCCCCCTGGGAGTTCCGCTGCCGCGCCGGGGGGCTCTGCGTGCCCGGGGCCTGGCTCTGCGACAACGAGGACGACTGCGGGGACGGCTCGGACGAGCTGTGCGACCCCCCCTGCGACCCCCGGCAGCCCCGCTGCCCCGGCGGGCCCTGCCTGCCCTGGGGGGCGCGCTGCGACGGCGTCGCGCACTGCCCCGACGGCTGGGACGAGGCCGGGTGCGCCCCCCGCGCCTGCCAGCCCCCCGAGTTCGCCTGTGCCGGGGGGCGCTGCCTGCCCCCCGCGCGGCTCTGCGACGGGCGCCTCGACTGTCCCCCCGGGGATGACTCGGACGAGGCGGGTGAGCCAGCACGGGGGTCGGGGGTGCTGGAGTGGGGAGGGGGCTGCAGGGAGTTTGGGGGTCCTGGGGAATAGGGAGCCCTGCAGGCCTTGGGGTCTGTGCCCCGCAATGGGGTCCCTGAGCCCCCCAACCCCGGGGATCTGTGCCCCACATTGAGGGTCCCTGAGCCCCCAGCCCGGGGGTCTGTGCCCCACATTGAGGGTCCCTGAGCCCCCCAACCCCGGGGATCTGTGCCCCACATTGAGGGTCCCTGAGCCCCCCAACCCCGGGGATCTGTGCCCCACACTGAGGGTCCCTCAGCCCCCTAATCCTGGGGGTCTGTGTGGGGTCCCTGAGCCTCCCAAATCCTGGAGGTCTGTGCCCCACACTGAGGGTTCCTGAGCCCCCCAGCCCTGGGGATCTGTGCCCCACATTGAGGGTCCCTGAGCCCCCAACCCTGGGAGTCTGTGCCCCACACTGAGGGTCCCTCAGCCCCCTAATCCTGGGGGTCTGTGTGGGGTCCCTGAGCCCTCAAACCCTGGGGGTTTGAGCCCCCCAGGCCCGGAGCTGGCGCTGCTCGGGAGCCCCCCGGGAGCAGGAGCCGCCCGTGCCCGGGTTGGCGGTGCCCGTATCCCAGGTGGGGGTGCCCGTGCCCACCGGTGGTCCCGTCCCGCAGGCTGCGCCCCCCGGTGCGGGCCGGGGCAGTTCCGGTGCGGCGGGGGCCGCTGCGTGCCCTCCCGGTACCGCTGCGACGGCCGCGACGACTGCGGGGACGGCAGCGACGAGAACGACTGCCCCGGTGAGGGGGACACCCGCCGTGGGGACCCCGCCTGGGACCCCCGGCCCTGGGACCACCCCACTGGAGATCCCAGTCTGGGACCCTCTACCCGCAATGGGAACCCCGGCTGGGACCCCCGGCCCCGGATCCCCTGCCCTGGGACTCCCCGGATCCCCTCCACCCTGGGACCACCCCACTGGGGACACTCCACCCTGGGACCACCCTATCAAGAACCCCCACCTGGGACCCCAACCCGCAATGGGGACCCAACCTGGGACCCCCCGGACCCCCGGCCCTGGGACCACCCCACTGGAGACCCTCCACCCTGGGAACCCCAACCTGGGGACCAACCCAGGACCCTCCATCCTGGGACCACCACACTGGAGACCTCCACCCGGGACCCTCCACCCTGGGAACCCCTCCTGGGACCCCCCGGCCCCTCTGCCCCGGGACCACCCCCCTGGGGACCGCCCCATCCGCCCCGCGAGGCTCCCGATCAGGGGCAGCTCCCCGGGACCCCCTACCCGGCATCGCCGCCTTTGGGGACCCCTCCCCGTGACCCCTCACCCCGGAGCCCCTCCGAGACCCCCTTTGGTCCCCGCTGGCCCCGGCGGCGGTGTCACCGCTGTCCCCGTGTCCCCAGCGCGGGCCACCTGCGCCCCCGGCACCGTGCCCTGCCCCGACGGCTCCTGCGTGCCGGAGGCGGCCGTGTGCGACGGCGCCCGCGACTGTCGCGACGGCTGGGACGAGAGCCCGGCGGGGTGCGCGGTGGCGCTGCCGCCCGCGCCGCTGTCACCTGTCACCTCCCCTGTCAGCGCTGTCACCGCCCCTGTCAGCGCTGTCACCGCCGACACTGCCATCGCGGTCACCAGCGGCACTGTCGCCAGCGCTGTCACTGTCAGTGACACTGACGCTATCGCCGACACCTCTGCTGTCACCGCCGCTGTCACCAGCACTGTCACTGTCACTGTCACTGTCACCGCCTCGGCCGCGCCCTGCCCGCCCCGCTCCCTGCGCTGCCACAGCGGCGGCTGCGTCCCGCGGGGGTGGCGCTGCGACGGCGACAGCGACTGTCGCGATGGCAGCGACGAGCGAGGCTGCGCCCCCCCGTGCGCCCCCGGCCACCTGCCCTGCGGCCCCGCCTGCGTCCCCCCGAGCCGCCTGTGCGACGGCGTCCCCGACTGTCGCGACAGCGCCGATGAGAGCCCCCGGCTGTGCGGTGAGACCCCGGGGGTGGCTCTGGTGACATCTGCGGGGGGGGGGTCTGGGAGTGCCCCCCGTGTCCCTCCTGGGGACCCCGGGGGTGAGGGGGGCGATCTCGGGGGTCCCGTGGGGAGGGCACGGGAAGCTCGGCAGGGAAGGGCTCCCACCGGAGAGGGGATCCCACCTACCCCCGGGACCCCCTTGGGGACCCCTGAGAGCCCTCGTGCCCCCCCCCAGAGCCCCCCGGCCCGCGGGGTCCCTGCGCAGAGTTCGCCTGCGGGGACGGGGAGTGTGTCACCTTCCAGCAGGTAACGGGGACAGGGGCACCGCCACCGCCCGCGCCACCGCGGCTCCCTCCCGGGGCTGCCCTGGAGCCCCCGATCCCCCTGCCGGTGTCACCCCGGGCCCCAGCGTGCCCCCGACCCTTCCCAGGCACACCCCGGTGTCCCCTGCCCCCTGCCGGTGTCACCCCGGTGTCCCCAGGTGTCCCCTGCCCCCTCCTGCTGTCACCCCGGTGTCCCCAGGTGTCCCCTGCCCCTCCCGGTGTCACCCTCGTGTTCCCTCCATCATTCCCGCAGTGTCCCCGAACTGTCACCCCCTCTGTCCCCTGACCCCTCCCGACCCCCCCTCCCGGTGTCCCTGACTCCTGTCACCCCCTCCCGGTGTCACCGGGTGTCCCCGCGTCCCTGACCCCCTTCCAGCGCCACTTCAGCGTCCCCTCAGCCCCTCTCGGTGCCAGCCCGGTGCCCCCCGTGTCCCCAGCGTCCCCGGTGTCCCCGCAGGTGTGTGACGGGCTGCGGGACTGCGCCTCGGGGGGGGACGAGCGGGGCTGCGGCTTTTGGGGTGCCTGGGGGCCCTGGGGGTCCTGCAGCCGCCCCTGCGGGCCCGGGGGGCAGCGCCGCGCCCGGGGGTGTCACCAGCGCCACCCGGGGCTGCTGCGGGGCTGCCGGGGACCCCGCGAGCAGGAGCGAGCCTGCTTCCACCGCGCCTGCCCGGGTGAGCGGGGACCCGCGGTTTGGGGGGTACCGGGGCGTCCCGGAAGGGTTTGGGGGATCCCGGGGAATCCCGGAGGGTTTGGGGGGATCCCGGGGCATCCTGGAGGGTTTGGGGGCACCCGGGGGCATCCCGGAGGGTTTGGGGGCACCCCGGAAGGTTTGGGGGGATCCCAGGGCATCCCGGAGGGTTTGGGGGCACCCCGGGGCATCTCGGAGGGTTTGGGGGGACCCCGGGGTATCCCGGAGGGTTTGGGGGGATACCAGGGCATCCCGGAGGGTTTGGGGGGACCCCGGAGGGTTTGGGGGCACCCCGGGGCATCCCCGGAGGGTTTGGGGGGCCGGGGGGTGTCGGGGTCCCGGGGACAGGCTGACACTGCCACGAGTGCCGAGGGAAGGGAGGGGGGGCCTGGGGGGCCCTCGGGGCAGTTTGGGGGTCTCATGGGGGGGTACCTGAGGGATTTGGGGATCCCCGGGGGGGGGGTTCCGGGGCCCCACGGTCCCAGAGGGGTTCGGGGGTTCCGAGGCCCCCCCTTAACCCGCCCCCCCCGCAGTGGACGGCGCGTGGGGCCCGTGGGGTCCCTGGTCCGAGTGCCCGGGGGGCTGCGGGGGGGTCCGGCTGCGCACCCGAGGGTGCCGGCCCCCCCAGAACGGCGGCCGCGCCTGCGAGGAGCTGCGGGGGGGCCCCGGAGCGCTGGAGACGGGTGGGTGCGGGATGGGGGTACGGGGGGTCGGAGGGGTCTGGGGGTCCCATGGGGCAGGGGGCTCTGGGGGCAGGCCCCAATGGGGTGGGGGTCCCGGGGGGTTCCGTGGCACAGATGAGCCCCGCAGAGCGGGGGGCGCTGGGTGGGCGCGGGGCTCCCCAGAGTGAGGGGCTCTGTGGGACGGGTGGGCACTGCTGGGGCAGGGGGTCGTGCCCGGGTCCCGCTGGGATGGGGGGCTCCACAGAGGGTACGGGGGGTTCTGGGGATCAGGGGTTCTGGGGGTCAGGGGGTCTCCGTGCCTGACTGTGCCCCAGCCCCCCTGTGCTGGGGTGGGGGGCTCCACAGAGGGGGTGGGGGGTTCTGGGGGTCAGGGGGGCTGGGGGCAGGGGATCTCCGTGCCTGACTGTACCCCCAGCCCCCTGTGCTGGGGTGGGGGGCTCCACAGAGGGTACGGGGGGTTCTGGGGGTCAGGGGGTCTCCGTGCCTGACCCCGCCCGCAGCCCCCTGTGCCCCGGGGGGGTGCCCCAACGCCTCGCAGTGCTCGGAGGGGCTGCGCCCCCTGCCCTGCGCCCCCTGCCCCGCCTCCTGCGCCGACCTGGCCGCCGCCGTGCCCTGCCCGCGCCCCCCGCCCTGCCGCCCAGGTGAGGGGGACACTATGGGGGGCTATGGGGGGCTACGGGGGCTCCGCGATGTTCGGGGCACCGCTGACCCCCCCGATCCCCCCAGGGTGCTGGTGCCCGGCGGGGCGGGTGCTGGAGCCCCCCGAGGGCTGCGTGCGGCCGGGGCAGTGCCCGTGCCGGGCCGGGGGGCGCCGCTTCCCGCCGGGAGCCCCGGTGCCGCTCGGGTGTCGCGTGTGCGCGTGCCTGGAGGGACAGCTGCGACACTGCCGCCCGCAGCCCGGCTGCTCAGGTGCGTCCCGGTGCCCGTGCTGGGGTCTCCGGTGCCCGTGGGGTCTCCGGTGCCCGGTGTCCCCTCCCCGGTGCCCCGGCTGTCCCGGGTGTCCCGGTGACCCGGTGTCCCCACAGTGGACTGCGGTTGGTCCTCGTGGTCGCCGTGGGGCCCGTGCGGGGGCGGCTGCGGCAGCCCCGGGGTGCAGTGGTCGTTCCGCAGCCCCTCGAACCCGGCCCGGCGCGGGGGCGGCCGCCACTGCCGCGGCATCTACCGGAAAGCGCGACGGTCAGCGGGGCCGGGGCGGGCGGGGTCTCGGGGTGTGGGCAGGGGGTCCTGGAAGGTGGGCAGGGGTCCCGGGGGTCCCGCGGCGTGTGACGGTGCCCCCGGGGCTGGGCAGGGTCCCGGAAGGTGGGCAGGGGTCCGGGCTGGGCAGGGGGCTCGGGGAGGCGGGCAGGGGGCTCGGGGTGTGGGGAGGGGGTCCCGGAAGGTGGGCAGGGGTCCGGGGGTCCCGGTGTGCGTGACGGTGCCCCCGCAGGTGCCGCACGCCGCCGTGCCCGCGGTGCCGGGAGCGCGGCCGCTGGCGCGTCCCCGGGGAGCGCTGGCGGGGGGAGCCGTGCCAGCTGTGCCAGTGCCTGCCGGGCGGGGCCGTGCGCTGTGTGCCCTACTGTCCCCTCCGCCGCTGTCCCCAGGTGAGCCGGGGCGCGGGGACGGGCCCGGTGGCGGTGGCGGTGTCGCTGTCGCTGTCCCCAGGTGAGTGGGGGCGGTGGCAGTGACGCTGTCGCTGTCCCCAGGGCCAGGCGCTGCGGGAAGGGCACGGCGGCTCCTGCTGCTCCTGCGGCCCCGCGGGTGAGTGGGGGTGCCGGGGGTCCCGGGGGTCCCGGGGGAGGTGACCCCATCCCCCCGTGCCCGTCACCGCCGTGTCCGTCCCCGCCGCAGGTGACAACGCCACGGCCGCCCCGCCCGGCACGGTGACAGCGCTGTCCCCGAGCGGTGCCGAGACCCCCGGCAGGCCCGGGTACGGGAGGGGACAGGGAGGGCCGGGATTTGGGGGTCCCCAAAGCGGGGAGGGGGCACTGGGGGACCCCCGAGCCCTCATTGTGCCCCCTCCAGCCCCACGGCCGGGACCGAGGGGCCCAGAGGCGCCGAGACCCCCTCGGGACCCCCCGAGGGCACCCCCGGAACCGCGACCCCGCCCGAGGACACCCCGGGACCCCCCGAGGGCACCCCCAGAGCCGCGACCCCGCCCGAGGACACCCCGGGACCCCCCGAGGGCTCCGCGCCCCCCCCCGAGCCGGAGCTGCCCTCGCTGGCTCCCACGGGGGTCCCCGCCGCGACCCCCCCAGGTGAGGGAGGAAAGGCCCCCCCAGAACAGCCCCCCGGAATTGGGGAGTCCCGGTGGGAGGGAGGGACGGGCCCAGAAACAGCCCCCAGGGTTGGGGGTTTCCGGGGGGCAGTGCCCGGTCAGGGGGGGCTGCGGGTCCGACATCGGCAGCAACGAGCTTGGGGGGCTGAGGGTGTACCCCAAACACGGGGGGCTGCGGGTGTACCCCAAACACGGGGGGCTGAGGGTGTACCCCCAAACACGGGGGGGCTGAGGGCGTACCCCCAAACACGGGGGGCTGCAGGGTGGGTCCCCAAACATGGGGGGGCTGAGGGTGTACCCCAAACATGGGAGGGGGTTCCTGGGTGTGACCCCAAACACGGGGGGTTCCTGGGTGTCCCCCGAAACACGGGGGTCACGCTGCCCCCCCCGTGCCCCCCAGGCTGCGTCCCCCATGTTTGGGGGCTTTGGGGGTCCTGCAGCCGCTCCTGCGGGGTGGGGGTCGCTCTGCGGCGCCGGAGGGAGACCCCGCCCGGGGGGGGCTGCGACCACCGCCCCGGAACCGGCACCGGAACCGAAACCGACACCGGAACCGACACCGGAACCGAAACCCGCGTGTGCTTCCTGCAAGCCTGCCCAGGTACCCCCAAACCCTGCCTGGGTACCCCCAAACCCTGCCTGCCTTCCAGGGTACCCCCAAACCCTGCGAGCGTGCCCGGGTACCCCCAAACCCACCCCGGCAGGGCGGGGACCCCCAGTAAGGGCAGGACCTTCAGGAGTGGTGGGACCCCCATTATGGGGTGGGACCCCCGGTAAAGGGTGGGACCCTCGTTATGGGGTGGGACCCCCGTTATGGGATGGGACCCCCGGTAAAGGGTGGGACCCCCTTATGGGTGGGACCCCCTTTATGGGGTGGGACCCCCGGGTGTTGTCTGGGCTCTGCGGGGGTGGGACCGATCCCCCTTTCCGGGCTGGGCCCCCCGAGTCTGGGACCCCCCCAGTGAGTGGGACCCCCTTCCCCGGCCAGGGGGATCCCCAGGCGCGGGGGGCTCGGGGTCTGCAGTCCCCAGTGCGGGGGTCTCGCTGCCCACTCGGGGGTCCCACGGGAGGCCCAGTGGGTCAGGGGGTGTCTCTGGGGTGCTGCCCCCCCTGACCGCCCCGTGCCCCCCCAGTTTCGGGCGGGTGGGCGCCCTGGGGCTCCTGGAGCGCCTGCGCCGCCCCCTGCGGGGGGGGGCAGCAGATTCGCCGCCGCAGCTGCAGCGACCCCCCCCCAAAAAACGGGGGGCGGCCGTGCGAGGGAGGGGCGCTGCAGAGCCGGCCCTGCAACCTGCGGCCCTGCGGGGACCCCCCAGGTACGGGGGCACGGGGGGCGCGGGGGGCGCGGGGGGCTGGGACCCCCCTCCAACCCCAGCCTTGCTGCCCCGTCCCTCAACGCCACCACTGCCCCTCCCCAAATCCCCCCCGGGACCCCCCGAGCCCCAAACCCCCCGTGCTCCCCCCCAAGCACCCTGAAATCCCCAAAGCCCCCCAACCCCTCCATCCCTGACCGCTCCAATGGCCCCCCCCGTCCCTGACCCCCCAAACCTCCCCTCCCCCAGCCCCCCAAACCTCCCGAGCCCCCCAGACCTCCCCGGGCCCCCCTTTCCCCGCTGACCCCCCCGTGTCTCCCCAGCCTGCCCCCCCCAGGCGCTGCTGGTGCCCCCGGGGGGCTGCGAGGATCTGGGGGTCCCCCCGTGCCCCCCCAGCTGCGCGGACCTGAGTGGGAACAGCTCGTGCCCGGGGGGCTGCCAGGAAGGTCGGGGGGGTTTGGGGGGCACGGGGGGGGGGCGTGGGGGGCGGCTTGGGTGGAGCTGGTGGGGGGCACTGGGGCATTTGGGGGATTTTGGGGGGATTTTGAGGGGATTTTGGGGGGATTTGGGGGGATTTGGGGGGAACTGGGAACTGGGAAGGGCGTGGAGTGGGCTTGGGGAGGATTTGGGGGACTGGGAGGGAACTTAGGGAGGGTTTGGGAACTTGGGGGACCAATTCGGGGATGGGGGCATTTAGGGGGCGTTGTGAAGCCCCCCTGAACGCCCCCACCCCAGGCTGCCGGTGCCGGCCCGGGCTGGTGCTGCAGGGGAGCGGCTGCATCGAGCCCAGGTACCCCAAAACCCCGCTGTACCCCGATCCCCGTAACCCGGACACCTCTGTACCCCAAATGCCACCCGTACTGAACCCTGCTGCACCCCAAACCCATCTGTACCCCAAATCCCACCCGTACTGAACCCTGCTGCACCCCAAACCCATCTGTACCCCAAATCCCAAACCCATCTGTGCCCTGCTGCACCCCGAACCCATCTGTACCCCAAACCCCATAACCCGGACACCTCTGTACCCCAAATCTCACCGATACCCGAACCCTGCTGCACCCCAAACCCATCTGTACCCCAAATCCCAAACCCATCTGTGCCCTGCTGCACCCCGAACCCATCTGCACCCCAAGCCCCGGTGCTGGGCGTCCCCAGACAATGGGGCCCCTGAACACGGGGGGCTCCCAGGGGCTCCCCAGGGTTTGGGGTGACTCCTTTGCCCCCCAGCGCCTGCGGGATCCCCGCGGGGGTGATGGGGGTGCCCGGGGACCGGGGCCCCCCCGAATCCTGCGGGTGGTCGCGCTGGACCCCCTGGACCCGCTGTGACTGCGGCAGCGGGAGCCGGCAGCGCTTCAGGTGAGGGGGGCTGCCCCATATGGGGGGGTCTGCCCCATAGCGGGGGGTCTGACCCATAACGGGGGGTCCTGGCCCATAGCGGGGGGTCTGACCCATAGAGGGGGATCCTGACCCATAGCGGGGGGCTGACCCATAGCGGGGGATCTGACCCATAGCGGGGGGTCCTGACCCATGGCGGGGGATCTGACCCATAACGGGGGGTCTGCCCCACCATAGCGGGGTGGATCTGACCCATAGCGGGGGGGCTGACCCATAGAGGGAATCCTGACCCATAGCGGGGAGGGCTGACCCATAGCGGGGGTGTCTGACCCATAGCGGGGGGTCCTGGCCCATAGCGGGGGATCTGACCCATAACGGGGGGTCTGCCCCATAGCGGGGGGGATCTGACCCATAGCGGGGGGTCCTGGCCCATAGCGGGGGATCTGACCCATAACGGGGGGTCTGCCCCATAGCGGGGGGGATCTGACCCATAGCGGGGGAGCTGACCCATAGAGGGAATCCTGACCCATAGCGGGGAGGGCTGACCCATAGCGGGGGTGTCTGACCCATAGCGGGGGGTCCTGGCCCATAGCGGGGGATCTGACCCATAGCGGGGGGTCTGCCCCATAGCGGGGGGGATCTGACCCATAGCGGGGGGTCCTGACCCATAGCGGGGGTGTCTGACCCATAGCGGGGAGGGCTGACCCATAGAGGGAATCCTGACCCATAGCGGGGAGGGCTGACCCATAGTGAGGGTGTCTGACCCATAACGGGGGGTCCTGGCCCATAGTGGGGGGTCCTGACCCATAGCGGGGGGTCTGACCCATAGCGGGGGTCTGAGCCATAACGGGGTTCCTGCCCCATAGAGGGGGATCCTGCCCCATAGCGGGGGGTCTGACCCATAGAGGGGGATCCTGCCCCATAGCGGGGGGTCTGACCCGTAATGGGGGGGGGGGGGTGTCTGACCCATAACGGGGGGTCCTGACCCATGGCGGGGGTCGTGCCCCATAACGGGGTGTCTGACCCATGGCGGGGGTCCTGCCCCATAACGGGGTGTCTGGCCCATAACGGGGGTCCTGCCCCATAACGGGGGTCCTGCCCCGCTCCCCACAGATCCCCCACCAACCCCGCGGCCGCGCCGGGCGGTGCCCCCTGCACCGGGACCCCCCGAGAGGAGCGGGGCTGTGCCGAGCTCTGCGGGCCCGGTACGTGCCAGGATCCCCCCGAGACCCCCGAGCCGGGACCCCCGAGTGCCCCCGCGGCCCCTCGAGCGCCGCGTGCCGTGTGTCCGTCTGTCCGCAGAGCCCGGGAGCGCGGGGCCGCCTGCGGGGGGCACCGAGACCCCGGTGACCGCAGGGTCCCCAGAGACCCCAGAGGCCGCAGGGTCCCCAGGGTCGCCGTGGGCGCTGGAGCCGGCGTGGGGCACGGAGCTGCCGTGGGGCACGGAGCCGCTCTGGGTCCCGGAGTCCCCGGAGCCCCCCGAGCTCCCGGAGCCCCCTGAACCCCCCGGGTCCCCGGAGCCCCCGGAGTCCTCGAAGCCCCCCGAGCCTCCGGAGCCCCCCGAGCCGCCACAACCCCCAGAGGCCCCGGAGCCCCCGAAGTCCTCGCAGTCCCCGGAACCCCCAGAGTCCCCGGACGCCGCGCTCGGCCCGTGGTCGCCGTGGAGCACGGAGCCCCTGCCGGTGTCCCCATGGAGCGCGGAGCCCCTGCCGGTGTCCCCGTGGAGCGCGGAGCCCCTGCCGGTGTCACCGTGGAGCGCGGAGCCCCTGCCGGTGTCCCCATGGAGCGCGGAGCCCCTGCCGGTGTCACCGTGGAGCGCGGAGCCCGCCCGCGCCCCCGAGGCGCCGGTGCCCGCCCGGGGGTCGCCGTGGGGGCCGTGGGGGCCGTGGGGCGGCTGCAGCGCCGCGTGCGGGGGCGGCGAGCGCTGGCGCCAGCGGGGCTGCGGGAGCCCCCCGTGCCCGGGACCGGCGCTGCAGAGCCAGAGCTGCCACAGCCACGCGTGCCGCGGTGAGTGCCACCGGCAGGGGGACAGCGACACGGGGACCCTGACAGGGACACAGATCCCCAGTGCCCCTCAGCCCCCCACAGCCCTGCCCCACAGACCCCACAGACCCCCCGTGCCCCACAGCGCTGCCCCTCATCCCTGCCCCACCCCTCCATGGGGCCCTGAGCCGGGGGTGTTGGGGGGCACAGACCGGGTGCCCCGGGGTGCTCAGGGGTGTTTTTGGGGGTGCACAGGCCGGGTGCCCCTCAGTCACTGAGGGTTTTTTGGGGGGGGTGCAGAGGCCGGGTGCCCCCCATCACTGAGCGGTTTTTGGGGGTGCAGAGGCCGGGTGCCCCCCATCACTGAGCGGTTTTTGGGGGTGCAGAGGCCGGGTGCCCCCCATCACTGAGGGTTTTTTGGGGGGTGCAGAGGCCGGGTGCCCCCCGGGACGGACGTTCCGTGAGTGCGGGGGGAACTCGGGGTGCCCCCGGAGCTGCGCCCACCTCGGGGGGGCCGTGGGGTGCGCGGGGGGGTGCCAGGAGGGGTGTCACTGCCCCCCCGGCACCTTCCTGCACCGCCACACCTGCCTGCAGGTGAGACCCCTCCCCATGGGAACGATGGGGGGGATTTGGGGTTTGGGGCGGGGGTCCTCAAATCCACGGGGGTCTCGGGGTGGGGGGGATCCCGTTTGTGGGGTGTCCTGGGGGTGGGGGCTGTGTGGGCTCCCCACGGCAGGGTGGTCCCGGGGTCGGGGGGTCCCTGGGTCGGGGGGATCACGGGGAAGGGGGGGAGGGACCCCTGGGGCAGTGGTGGAGGGTCCCCAAGGTGCTTCTGTGGGGTGGTGGGTGTCCCATGGGTGCCCCCCAGGAACAGTAGGGGGGTTCGTGGGGTCCCTGGGTCTGTGGTTTGGGGTCCCTGAGTCTGTGGATCTGTTGTTTGGGGTTGTTTGGGGTCTCTGGGTCCGTGGTTTGGGATGATTTGGGGTCTCTGGGTCTGGTTTGAGGTTTTTTGGGGTCTGTGGGTCTTCTGTTGTTTGGGGTTGTTTGGGGTCTCTGGGTCTGGTTTGGGGTCTTTGGGTCTGTGGGTGCCCCCCGGGACCCCCCCCCCGGTTCAGCCCCAGCAGTGCCCCTGCTCGGTGCCGGCCGCGCTGCTGGGGGGGGGCACCCCCGGGACCCCCCCCGGCCCGGAGCCCCCCGGGACCCCCGCTGGGGACCCCCCGATCGTGGAGCTGCCGCCGGGCGGGACCCTGAGCCTGGGCTGCGCCCGCTGGTGAGGAGGGGTCACCGCCCCCCGGGTCTTTCCCCAGCCCCCTCCCAGCGCCCGCTGCCCCCTGACCCCCCTGTGCCCCCCCCCTGTGCCCCCCAGCACCTGCCTGTGGGGCCGCCTGCGCTGCGCCCCCCCCGGGGGCTCCGCCTGCAACGGGAGCGCGACACCGAACTGCGGGAGCGGCCCCTGCGCCGGTGGGTACCGGCCCCACAGACCCCTGCCCTATACCGGGGGTACGGCCCCACAGCCCCACAGACCCCTGCCCTATACCGGGGGTACGGCCCCATAGCCCCCTGCCCCACACCGAACTGCGGGAGCGGCCCCTGCGCCGGTGGGTACCGGCCCCATAGCCCCTGCCCTATAGCGGGGGCACGGCCCCACAGCCCCACAGACCCCTGCCCTATACCGGGGGTACGGCCCCATAGCCCCCTGCCCCACACCGAACTGCGGGAGCGGCCCCTGCGCCGGTGGGTACCGGCCCCATAGCCCCTGCCCTATAGCGGGGGCACGGCCCCACAGCCCCACAGACCCCTGCCCTATACCGGGGGTACGGCCCCATAGCCCCCTGCCCCACACCGAACTGCGGGAGCGGCCCCTGTGCCGGTGGGTACCGGCCCCATAGCCCTACAGACCCCTGCCCTATACCGGGGGTACGGCCCCATAGCCCCCTGCCCTATACCGGGGGCACGGCCCCATAGCCCCCCTGCCCCACACCGAACTGCCCGAGCCCCTCTGTGCCGGTGGGTACCGGCCCCATAGCCCCTGCCCTATACCGGGGGCACGGCCCCACAGCCCCTGCCCTACACTTGTGGGTCCCAGCCCCACTGAGGGGGGCCCCGGCGGGCCCGGGGGTGTCACCGGCTGTTTGTGCCCCCACAGCAGAGCCCGGCCCCACAGTGGATCTCGGCCCCATATCAGATCTCGGCCCCACACCGGATCTCAGCCCTACAGCGGATCTCAGCCCCACACCCGATCTCAGCCCCACAGCGGATCTCGGCCCCACACCCGATCTCAGCCCCATATCGGATGTCAGCCCCACAGCCCCAGGTGAGGGTCCCCACCCCTGTGCCGCCCACCCCGGGGGTCTGCCCCGCCCCACGCCGCCCCACTGACGGAGCCTTCCCGCAGGGGCCGAGCAGGAGCCCCGGGGATCCCCGGAGGTCCCGGCGGTCCCGTGGGGGCCGTGGGGGCCGTGGGGACCCTGCAGCCAGAGCTGCACCCGCCCCGAGAGCCCCGCGAGCCGCAGCCGCCACCGGGACTGCGCGGGGGGAAACTGTGGGGCGGGGGCGGGCACCGAGACACGGCCCTGCAACCTGCAGCACTGCGAAGGTACGGCATTTATGGGGTTAATGGGGTTAATGGGGTTATCCCTGCAACCTGCAGCACTGCGAAGGTACGGCATTTATGGGGTTAATGGGGTTAATGGGGTTATCCCTGCAACCTGCAACACTGCGAAGGTACGGCATTTATGGGGTTAATGGGGTTAATGGGGTTTTCCCTGCAACCTGCAGCACTGCGAAGGTACGGCATTTATGGGGTTAATGGGGTTAATGGGGTTATCCCTGCAACCTGCAACACTGCGAAGGTACGGCATTTATGGGGTTAATGGGGTAACACTGCAACCTGCCCCATTGCGAAGGTACGGGGGATTTGGGGTTTGGGGTTTTGGGTTTGGGGTCACCCTGCAGCCTGCCCCACTGCCGGGGTATGGGGGGCTCTGGGGGTGCTATGGGGGCCGTTTGGTCCCGGGGGTCCTGGAGGGTCTGGGGGGGCTTTGGGGTCCCTGCAGCCCGCCCCGCTGCCAGGATATGGGATTTGGGGGTCTCTGGGGGTCCTGCTCACTGCGGGTGATCCGGGGGGTCTCTGCCCCTCTGTGGGATGTTCTGGGGTATTTTGGGGGTATTTTTGGGGTCCCTCTGACTCCGCCGTTTCCCGCAGCCCCCCCGTGCCCGAAGCCCCCCTGCCCGTGCCGCTGGAGCCCCTGGGGTCCCTGGGGGTCGTGCTCGCGGCCCTGCGGGGGGGGGCAGCAGCGGCGGCTCCGCGCCTTCGCCCCCCCCGGGCCCGGGGGGCGCTGGTGCCCCCAAATCCTGGGGGGGGGCCACGAGCAGCGCCGGCCGTGCGGGGTGACGGCGTGCCGGGGTGCGGGACCGGGGTGCGGGAGGGGCTGGGGGGGATCGGGGCGATGGGGGGCATTAGGGGGTGTTGGGATGGGGTCGGGGGGCTGGGGCGGGAGCGAGGCTGGGGGTGAGGGGGCTATGGAGGGGGACCCTGGGGGGATGTTGGGGTGGCTGGGGGGATGTTGAGGGGTTCAGGGGGGCTGTGGGGGCCATGACGGGGTGTGGGGGGACACTGGGGGGATGTTGGGGCAGCTGGGGGGGGTCTGTGCGGGTGTTTCAGGGGGGCAGGGACCGGGGGCACGGGGGTCTCGGGGGGCTCAGGGGGCTCGGGGATCTCGGGTGGTTCGGGGGGCTCGGGTGGTTCAGGGGGGACCGGGGGTTCTCGGGGGGTCTCGGAGCGAACCCGGGCTGTTCCGGGGGTCACCCGCTGTCCCCCCCCGCAGTGAACGGCGCGTGGTCCCCGTGGGGTCCCTGGTCGCGCTGTGACGTCACGTGCGGGGGGGGCCGCTCCGTGCGCAGCCGCTCCTGCTCCAGACCCCCCCCAAAAAACGGGGGCAGCCCCTGCCCCGGGATGGGGCACGAGCTGCGCGTCTGCAACGCCCGCGCCTGCGGTACGGGGGGGTCTGGGGGACACCGGGAGGGGCTGGGGGGGCACCGGGAGGGACCGGGGGGCACCGGGAGGGGCTGGGGTGCCCTGGGGGGCTCGGGGGGTCCCTGGCGCTGTCGGGACGCTGACCGTGCCCCCCAGGCCCGCGGTGCCCCCCCGGGCAGAGCGAGTCCCCCTGTGCCACGCGGTGCCCGCGGAGCTGCCGGGACCTGCAGGAGGGCGTGTCCTGCCAGGGGGGGGCGCCCTGCGAGCCCGGCTGCCGCTGCCCCCCCGGTGAGAGCCCTGTGGGACCCCCGGGACCCCGTGTGTGACCCCCGTGGGACCCCCGTGTGTGACCCCCCGGGCCCGGCCCCTCTGAGCCTGTCCCTGTCCCATCCCTGTCCCTGTCCCTGTCCCCATTTCAGGCAACCTGGAGCAGGACGGGGGCTGCGTCCCCCCCTGTCCCTGTCCCTGTCCCATCCCTGTCCCTGTCCCATCCCTGTCCCTGTCCCATCCGTGTCCCCCCCCATTGCAGGCACCCTGGAGCAGGACAGGGGCTGTGCCCCCCCTGTCCCTGTCCCATCCGTGTCCCCCCCCATTGCAGGTACCCTGGAGCAGGACGGGGCCTGCGTGCCCCCCGCGCTGTGCCCCTGCCTGGACTCGGGGGGGCACCTCTGGGTGCCGGGGGGGGGCGGCCCCGCCCGGGGCTGCCGGAACTGCGCGTGCGCGGGGGGGCGGCTGCGCTGCGGGCCGGGGGGGTGCGCGACCCCCCCCGCGACCCCCGGGACCCCCCCCGGCACCGCCCCCTGCGCCTGGAGCCGCTGGAGCCAGTGGGGACCCTGCAGTGCCACCTGCGGGGGGGGGCGGCAGCTGCGACACCGGTCAGCGGGGGACACGGGGATGGGGGGGGCACCGGGGGGACATGGGGGTCGGGGGGGGACACGGGGGTGGGGGGAGACACGGGGGGGACATGGGGGTCAAGGGGGGACACGGGGATAGGGGGGGAACACGGGGGTCGTGGCGGGGACACGGAGGTGGGACACGGGGTCGGGAGGGGATACGGCACTTTGGGGACATGTCACACCCGGGGGGGACACAAGGGCCTGGGGTGCGACACGGGGGTCGGCGGGAGGGACACAGGGAACTGTGGGGACACAGAACTTGGGAGGAATAGGGTATATGGCCGGGGGCATGGCCCTGGGGGGCACCTCGGGGGGCCACCTTACCTTGGGGACACACGTGGCGCTGCGGGGACACGGAACCCACGGGGGTGATGTGACCCTGGGGGGGCTCCGGTGCCCCCCAATGCCCCGTGTGACTCCCCAGGACCCCCATCCCCCCCGAGGGCGGGGGGGCACCGTGCGGAGCCCCCCAGGAGCAGGCGCGGGGCTGCGAGGAGGCGCCGTGCCCGCCGCTGTGCCCCTGGGCGGGGGGCGAGCGGGCGCTGGGCGAGCGCTGGAGCCCCGGCCCGTGCCGCCTCTGGTGAGTGGGGGGCGCCGGGGGGCTCGGGGGGCTCCGAGAGACCCCCGCCCACCGCCCGTGCCCCCCCGCTGCAGCACCTGCACCCCCGAGGGACCCGAGTGCGGGGACACGCCGTGTGCCGCCGGTATGGGGGGCATTGGGGGGTCCTGGGGAGGGCACGGGGGGTCTCAGGGGGCATTGGGGGGTCCTGGGGAGGGCACGGGGGTCTCAGGGGGATTGGGGGGTCCTGGGGAGGGCACGGGGGGTCTCACGGGGCATTGGGGGGTCCTGGGGAGGGCACGGGGGTCTCACAGAGCACTGGGGGGTCTCGGTGACCCCGGTGCCCCCCGTGCCCCCCAGAGCCGTGTGACTGGAGCCCCTGGGGGCCCTGGGGACCCTGCAGTGACCCCTGCGCGGGGGGGTCCCGCCTGCGCCACCGGCACCCCCGGCACCCCGAGCCCCCCGGGCGGGCGTGCGCGGGGGTCCGCACCCAGAGCGAGAGCTGCGGCTCCGGCGCCTGCCCCGGTAACGCCGGGAACCCCCGGTACCCCCTCCCTCCCTCCCTGCACCCCCCTGCACCCCCCGGTAACCCCGGGCACCCCCGCAGAGCCCCGGTGCGGCGGGGGGGGCCGCAGCCGCAGCCCCTGCGCCGGGCGCTGCCCCCGGAGCTGCGCGGACACCTGGGCGCCGGTGCAGTGTCTGCAGGGACCGTGCGAGACAGGTACGGCCCGGCCCCGCCACCGGGCACCCACCGTGTCCCCAGGGTGCCCCCGAGCACCCACCGTGTCCCCACGGCGCCCCCCGCCCGCAGGGTGCCGGTGCCCCCCCGGGCAGCTGCTGCAGGACGGGCGCTGCGTCCCCCTGAGCCGCTGCCGCTGCGGGACCCCCGGCGGGGACAGCGGGAGCCGCGAGGTGGCCCCGGGCACCGTGACCCGCGTCGGGTGCCACGAGTGGTGCGTGACACCGGGGGGGGGCACGGGGGACGGGCACAGTGACGGTGGAACGGGCATGATGACAGTGGGACTGGGACGGGGGACACGGTGGGACGGGCACGGTGACAGTGGGACAAGCACGGGGGACAGGGCGGGACGGGCACGGTGACAGTGGGACTGGGACGGGGGACACGGTGGGACGGGCACCGTGGCGGTGGGACAGGCACAGGGGACAGGGTGGGACGGGCACAGTGACAATGGGAGATGGGCACGGTGACAGTGGGGCCGGCACGGGGGACAGGGACGAACGGGCACAGTGCTGGCAGGACGGGCACCGTGGCGGTGCCACACGGCAGGGCCCCACGCGCGGTGACGGTGACACGCGTGTCCCCCCCGGTGCAGCACCTGCGAGAACGGGACCCTGACCTGCCCGGCGCTGCCGTGTCCCTCCCCGGAGCCCGCGACTCCCGCCAGCCCCATGTCCCCGGTGTCCCCCGTGTCCCCTGCACACCCCGTGTCCTCCGTGTCCCCCGTGTCCCCCGTGTCCCCTGCACACCCCGTGTCCCCCGTGTCCCCCGTGTCCCCTGCACACCCCGTGTCCCCGCTGTCACCCTCGCCCTCTCCCTCGGCCCCGCTCCCCCTCTCTCCCGAGCCCCTGTCCCTGTCCCCCGCCGTGTCCCCGTGGTCCCCCTGGTCCCGCTGCTCCCGCAGCTGCGGCGGCGGCACCCGGAGGCGGCAGCGGCAGTGCCGGGAGGGCCCCGGGCCGGGGCCGCCGTGCGGGGGGAGCCCCGAGGAGGAGACGGCGGCGTGTAACCCCCAGGCGTGCCCCGGTGAGAGCGGGGACACCGGGGGGAACGGGGGGGGAGCGGGGAAAAGGAGGGAACGGGAGAGGGAACGGGGAACGGAAGGTGAACGGGAGAGGAGAACGGGAGAGGGGAACGGAGGGATGGAAGGATGGGAGAACGGGAGTGGGAAGGGGATGGAGGTAGCGAGGAAGGGAGGGAGGGATGGAGGCTGGTGGGCGGAGGGCCGGGGCAATGGAAGGAGGGAGAGCCGGGGTCAAGGAGGTGCCGGTGCCGTTCCCGGTGTGATTCCTGGTGCTGTTCCAGTTCCCATTCCCGGTGTGATTCCCGTTCCCGTTCGCAGTGCCGTTCCCGGTGGCCCCCAGCTGCCCCCCGGGCGAGGTGTGGCTGGACCCCGGCCCCGCCTGCGAGCGCAGCTGCCAGGACCTGGCGGAGCCCCCCGGGACCTGCGGGGGGACCCCCGCGACCCCCGGAACCCCCGGATCCCCCGGGACCCCCGGAACCTCCGGATCCCCCGGGACCCCCGGGACCCCCGTGACTCCGGACAGCTCCAGCGCCCCCGGGGTCCCCACGGCCCCCGGCACCCCCGGGACCCTCGGGACGGCCTCGCCCCCCCCGCGCTGCGCCTGCGCCCCCGGGCGGTACCGGAACGGCTCCGGGCAGTGCGTGAGCGCGGGCGGCTGCGGCTGCCGGTACCGCGGGGCGCTGCGAGCGGTGAGCGGGGCGGGGGGCGCGGGCGGGGGTCCCTGAGCCGAGTCTGGGGGTCCCTGAGCAATGTTGGGGTCCCGGCCCCCCGCAGGCCGGCAGCGAGTGGCAGGAGCCGTGCGGGACCTGTCGCTGCTCCGAGGGACGCGTCACCTGCGGCAGCTCCTGCCCCGCGCTCACCTGCCCCGAGGTGCGGGGCTCGGGGGACTCCGGGGGCGCGGGGGGGGCCCCGCGGGCCGGGGCTGAGCCTGGGGGTCCCCGCAGGGCGCGGAGCCGGTGCGGGAGCCCGGGAGCTGCTGCCCCGTGTGCCGGGACGAGTGGCCAGGTGAGACCCCGCGCCCGGGGAGGGGCGGCCCCGGCAGCGCCCCCGCTCACGCCGTGTGTCCCCCCCCGGTGCAGAGGAGCCCCCCGGGCCGTGCCGGCTCCTCACGACGCTGCGGAGCATCGCCAAGGGCGCGTGTGTGCTGCGGGGCGTCCGCGTCACCTACTGCGCGGGGGCGTGCCGCTCCCGCACCGCCGTCAGCGCGCAGGTACGGGGGGCGCGGGGGGACCCCGGCCCCGCCTGCTGCCCCCGAGCCGCCTCTGCCCGGCCCGGGGCTCTCCGGGGGTGTCTGTCCCTGGGTGTGTGGCTCTCCCCGGGCTCTCCGGTGCTCCCGGTCCGTCCCCGCCGTGACGCGGTGTCCGCAGGAGCCGTACGTGCGGTCGCTGTGCGAGTGCTGCAGTTACCGGCTGGACCCCGCCCGGCCCGTGCGGCCGCTGCTGCTGCCGTGCCCCCGGGGCCGCCCCCGGCCCGCGCTGCTGCCCCGCATCGCCGAGTGCCGCTGCGAGCCCTGCCGGGGTGCGGGACGGCAACGGGGGAACCTGCGGGGGGAACGGGCAACGGGGGGAGCGGGCAACGGGGGAACGGGCAGCGGGGGGAACGGGCAGCGGGGGGAACGGGGAGAGCGGGGGGAACGGGGAGAGCGGGGGGAACGGGGGGATCCTGCCGAGGAACGGGGGACCCTGCGGGGGCGTGGAGGGACCCTGCCGGGGATCGGGGGAAGCGGGGGATCCTGCGGGGGGATCCTGATGGGGTGCGGGGTCCAGGGGGAACAGGGAGGATCCTGCGTGGGCTTCGGGGCTCCAGGGACTGGGGGGATTCTGAGGGGCTCCGGGGGCTGGGGGGAGTGGGGGGAACCTGTCGGGGCTCTGGGGGGACACGCGGCCCCCACACCGCCCAGAGCGCTGCGGGTGGAGAAGGGGCTGTCCCGGGCGTCCCGGGGGGCTGCGGGGGGCTCGGGGACAGCGGAGCCTCCTGTCCCGCAGGCGGGGACTTCAGCCGGCGCTGAGAGACCCCCGGACACCGCCTGGATCGAGGAGACCCTTATGGATACCAATAAACGATCGATAAACGATGGAGCTCCATAATCGATAATTAACCATTAATAGATAACCTCACCCGGGGCACTGGGGGAGCTGGGGGGGCAGGGGACACTGGGGGGCACTGGGATGAACTGGGGGTCTCCGGGAGGGGGGGGCACTGGAGGGCACTGGGGTGAACTGGGGGACTCGGAGCGGGCACTGGGATGAACTGGGGGGCACTGAGATGAACTGGGGGACAGTGGGGGTCGCTGTTATGAGCTGGGATGAACTGGGAGAGTGGGGGGGGGGCACTGGAGGGGCACCGGGATGTACTGGGGGGTCTCGGGGGGCGACACTGGGAGGAACTGGGATGAACTGGGGGACTCGGGGAGGCACTGCGATGAACTGGGGATCTCCGGGGGGACACTGGGGGGGCACTGGAATGAAGCGGGGGTCTCTGGGGGGAGTACTGGGATGAACTGGGATGAACAGGGGGACCGGGGAGGGGCACTGGGATGAAGTGGGGGTCTCGGGAGGGGCGGCACTGGGATGAACTGAGATGAACGGGGGGTCTCCGGGGATCACTGGGATGAACTGGGGGTCTCGGGGGAGGCACTGGGGGGGCACTGGGATGAACTGGAGGACACTGGGAGCGGCGGGGGCTGCAGTTTCCCCCGCCACCACACGAGGGCGCCCCTCAGAGAGGCGGGCGGGTAGGAGAGTCCGGGCCCCTCCGGTACGCGGGGACATCGCGGGGACACTGCGGGATGGACAGTGCGGGAGGGACACTCTCGGGGACACTCTGGAGACACTGTGGGGGACTCTCTGGGGACACTCTAATGGACGCCCCTTGGCGCCAATGGCGGCCGCGCTCCCGCCTCGTCACGGAGAAGGCGCCGCCGCCGCGTGATGGCGCAACCAGCGGCCAATGGCGAGCGGCCGCTGCGCTGTGACGTAATAACCGCGCGCCTCGGTGGCGGCCCGTGCGCGGGGCCCGGGCGGGAGAGGTCAGAGAGGGTCGGGAGCGGGAACGGGGATCGGAACGGGAACGGGAGCGGGCATGGGAAATGGATCGGGATCGGGAACGGGAATTGGATCGGGATCAGGAACGGGAACTGGATAGGGAATGGGAATGGGGACGGGGACGGGTACGGGATCGGGATCGGGAATGGGACTGGGAACGGGAACAGGATTAGGATCGGGAGCGGGACGGGACCGGGACTGAGATCGGGTCCGGGACCGAGATCGATGATGGGATCGGGCTTGGGACCGGGACTGGCGTTGGGACCGGGACTGAGATCGGGTCCGGGACCGAGATCGATGATGGGATCGGGGTTGGGACCGGGACCGACGTTGGGACCGGGACTGTGGGAACACTGACGGGGCCGGGGAAGCGGGCCCGGGGAAGCACCGGGGGGAACCGGAACCCAGGGATGGAGCGGGGGGAAGGCGGGAGCGGGGCCGGGCTGGAGAGCATGGGCCGGAGTGAGACCGACCCCGGCACCGGGGGGAGCTCCGGCACGGCGGGACAGTGTCCCGGTGCGGGCCGCCCCAACGCTCGGTCCCGCGCAGAGTCCCGGGATGCGGCGCTGAGCCCTGCCCGGTGCCGCCGAGCCGCGCCCGGTGCCGCCGAGCCGTGCCGGGCACCGAGCCGCGCCCATGGCCGCGCACCTGGTTCGCCGCTGCTGCCGGCGGCTGCTGCTCCCGGCGCTGCCGGGGCCCGGCGCGGGGCCCGCGCTGCGCACCGGGCCGGCCCGGGCCGCCGAGGAGCCGCGGGCCCGGCCCGTGGGCGAGGAGCCGCAGCTGCGGGAGCTGATCCGGGCGGCGGGCAGCGCGCAGGAGCTGCTGCAGCTGGGCCGCGGCAACGCCCTCAGCAGCAACCTGGCGGCGCTGGCCCTGGCACGGCTGGCACGGCTGAGCACCGAGCAGCGCCTGGACACCGAGAGCCTGCGCGGGGACCCGCGCTTCCAGCAGCTCCTGGGGGCGCTCGATGCACAGGTGGGACGGGGACGGGGCTGGGGGGCACTGCTGGGGACACAGCTGGGGCTGTGGGGACAGGGATGGGAGTGCCGGGGACAGGGGTGGCAGTGCCGGGGACAGGGGTGGGAGTGCCGGGGACACCCCCTTCCAGCAGCTCCTGGGGCGCTCGATGCACAGGTGGGACAGGGACACACCTGGATGTGCTGCTGGGGACAGGGCTGCAGTGGCTGCAGTGCTCTGCTCTGCACCTGAGCACTCAGGGCACACCTGGGGCACAGGCTGGCGGTGCCCAGGTCCCTCCAGCGGGTTCAGGGCACGCCTGGGAGGTGGCACAGGTGGAGGAGCGGTGTCCCAAATCCACAACGGCTGTCCCTGTGCCACATCTGCCCCACACATCTGCCCCACATCTGCTCTCCCTGTGGCAGATCTCTCAAGTGTGGAACATGGCTGTTGTCCCTGTGTCACACCTGTCTCTGTGTCATGTGCAGATCTCCCAGGTGTGAGGTGGTGTCCCTGTCTCACACCTGTCCCATGTCCCCATCCCCCGCAGATCTCCCGGGTGTGGAATAGGGCTGTTGTCCCCATGTCACTCATGTCCCAGTCTCACCCCTGTCCCTGTGTCACCCCTGTCCCCTCGGATCTCCCAGGTGTGGAACAGGGCTGGTATCCCCATGTCTCACGCCTGTCCCCATGTCCCCGTGTCCCTGCAGATCTCCCAGGTGTGGAACACGCCTGCTGTCCCCATGTCCCTCACCTGTCCCCGTGTCCCCGCAGATCTCGCAGGTGTGGAACATGCCTGCTGTCCCCATGTCCCTCACCTGTCCCCATGTCCCCGCAGATCTCGCAGGTGTGGAACATGCCTGCTGTCCCCATGTCACTCATGTCCCCATGTCCCTGTCCCCGCAGATCTCGCAGGTGTGGAACTCGTCGCTGCTGCAGCTGCTGCGGGCGCTGCCGTCGCTGGGGCTGGCGCGGGGCGGGCGCCAGGTGCGCTCGGTGGAGCAGGAGGTGCTGTGGCGGCTGCGGCGCCTGCCCCTGCGCCAGCTGGTGCAGCTGGCGGAGCAGCTGGCGGGGCAGGGCGCCCCGGGGCCGCTGCTGCCCGAGGTGCTGCGCAAGCTGGAGCTGCGCTGGACCGAGCTGGAGGGCGCGCGCACCGTGGTGACGCTCATGGCCAAGGTGGGACACCTGTCCCCCGCCCTCATGGAGCGCCTGGAGGACAAGGTGGGGCTCCACGCCTGGGGGTGGCACGGGGGGTGGCACTGGGGGGAGCCGGGCCTCAGCCTCGGCTGGGGGGGTTACCTGGGGTCTGCGGTGTCACCTGGGGTCAGCGGTGCCACCTGGGGTAAGGGGTGCCACCTGGGGTCTGCGGTGTCACCTGGGGTCAGGGGTGCCGCCTGGGGTCTGCGGTGTCACCTGGGGTCAGGAGTGCCACCTGTCCTCTGTCTCCCCTCTCCCACCTGTCCCTGTCTCACCTGTCCCTGTCTCTACCAAGCTCTGGAGCTGGCTGAGCAGTTCTGTCTCTGTCCCAGCTGTCCCATGTCCCACCTGTCCCTGTGCCAGGCCCTGGAGCTGGCTGAGCAGTGTGACTCCTGTAACTGTTTCCCCTGTCCCTTGTCTCACTTGTTCCTGTCTCACTTGTCCCTGTGCCAGGCCCTGGAGCTGGCGGAGCAGTTCTGTCCCTGTTCCGTGTCTCACCTGTCCTTGTCTCACCTGTCCCTGTCCCTCCTGTCCCTGTCCCACCTGTCCCCAGGCCCTGGAGCTGGCGGAGCAGTTTGTCCTTGTCCCATCTGTCCCCCTGTCCCTGTCCCTCAGGCCCTGGAGCTGGCGGAGCAGTTCTGTCCTGTCTCACCTGTCTTGTCTCACCTGTCCCACCTGTCCCCAGGCCCTGGAGCTGGCGGAGCAGTTCTGTCCTGTCTCACCTGTCTTGTCTCACCTGTCCCACCTGTCCCCAGGCCCTGGAGCTGGCTGAGCAGTTCTGTCCCTGTTCTGTGTCTCACCTGTCCCTGTCCCACCTGTGCCCAGGCCCTGGAGCTGGCAGAGCAGTTTGACCCCGACGAGCTGCGCCGCGTGGCGCTGGCCCTGGCGCTGCAGCAGCGCCGCTGCGTGCCCCTGCTGCGGGCCCTGAGCTACCACCTGCTGCAGAAACCCGCTGAGCTGCCCCTGCCCGTGCTCACCGACCTGCTCTTCGCCTTCAGTGAGTGCCAGGGACACCTCTGGGGGCTGGGGACAGTCCTGGTCCCCTGTCACTGTCCTGGGGCTGGGAATTGCTGGGCTGGGTGACAAGGACACTGCAGGGGCTGGGGACAATCCTGGTTTGGTGTCACTGTCCTGGGGCTGGGACTTGCTGGGCTGGGTGACAGGGACACTGCAGGGGCTGGGGACAGTCCTGGTCCCCTGTCACTGTCCTGGGGCTGGGAATTGCTGGGCTGGCAGTGGGTGGGGGAATCCAGGTGAGCTTTGGGGTGCCAAACCTTTCCTTTCCCAGCCAGGTGGGGTGAGGGAGTCCAGGTGGGGCTGGGCACTGTGGGTCAGCCCAGGGTCACAGAGGAGGCCATTCTAGGTGTCCTGTCACTCCCGGTGTCCCAAAGCCCTGGGAGCTCGGTGTGAGCCCCTTCCATCACCCTGGGTGTCCCCAGTCCCTCCCCAGCTCACCTGCAGCCCCTTCAGGCGCTGGGAGGGCTCTCAGGTGTCCCTGGAGCCTCTCCTCTCCAGGTGACCGTCCCCATCTGTCACCTGTGGCATGGGGGGCACAGCACAGGGCGCTCAGAGCCCCCTGAGCTGAGCTGTGCCCCCTGTGCCAGGCAAGCTGAACTTCCAGCAGCCGCAGGTGCTGCACCGCCTGGCCCTGGAGCTGCAGCCCCAGCTGGGCAGCCTGAGCCCGGCGCAGGTGCTGCGCTGCGCCCGCTCCTTCGGCAGCCTGCGCTGGCTCAGCCGGCCCCTGGCCGAGGCCATGGCCCAGGTGAGCCCTGGGGGGCAGGGGGGGACCTCACCTGGGCATGGGGGGACACAGGGACCTCACCTGGGCC